AGAAATCTGGCTTCTCGCAGCGGCGCGTGTAGAGATTGAGGCGCACGATGCGGTCGTTCTTAGTGATGAAGTGGATGGTTGCCGGCGGCGCCAGGTAATCCCTGAAGATATCCTGACGCGGATACCAGCTGCAGAAGATCTCGTCCATCTCCTCTGGCGTGAACGGCACCTCCTTATCCTCGCGCCGCTGGTCGTTGTCGTCCTCGGTGGCCTCAGGATCCTCGCTGGCCTCGTCCTCGTTCTTCACTTCCTTGCTGCTTCTTGCCTTCTTTCTCTCTTTCTTCTCTTCTTTGCTGCTCCTCGCCTTCTTCTTCTTCTTCTCTTTCTTTTCTTCCTTTTCTTCCTTCTCACCGCGGTCTTCTGGTGGACTCCGCTTCTCTTTCTTCACGCCGCGGCCTTCTGGTGTACTCCGCGACCTTGAACGCGAGGAAGCCTCCGCCTCGGGCGGAGGAGGAGCACGAGGCTCGCGAAGAACAGCTCCCTGATCACGCTGGCGGTCGCCACGACGATCTCGATGATGATCTTCACGCTGCTTGGTGTCACGACTCCCGCCTTCGCCGCGCCGATCGTCACGGGGCTTGGAATCACGATTGCCGCCCATCACGATCTTGAACATAGTTGCCGTGATCTCGTCGAGATCCACCTCAGCCGCCGTGCAAGGCCTCGATGTGGTCAGCTGCAGGCGCACGAGCCGACCCTGGACGAAGTCGAGGCTCTCGAAGCGGCCTTGCTTGAAGAAGATAGGCTTCTTGTTCGTCACGCGCTCCACGATGTGATGGACCGTGGCAAGGTCAGGAAACTCCAACTCCACGCTGTGCCCCTTTGCGTGGGTGTTGGCCAGAATGCGATGGCAACGCACGACAGCATCCTCGTCCTCCTGATCCTCCCCGCGCCTGGCACGGGCGCGCGCGCGTTCATCGCTGCTCTGCGCGGGCCCTGGGCCATCGTCGGCGTCCCGGCGTAGGCTCGGCGCAGGCGTGCTCTTGGGCCTGGGGTGCATAATGATCCGCTCTGGCGCGTCCGCTCGACCCTCCACTGGATGCCCCTGGGCAGGCACCGACTGGGGAGCACGGCGCCATGGAGCGCGACCACGACGCTCCTCGGCGCTGCCTGCCATACCAACCCAGTGGACGATCGGTCCATGCACCTGCCTAGGCGCCGGCGGCTTCACAGAGCTCCACTGGTTGGGCGACGCTGGCTGGCCATTCTTAGGCCCGATCTTGTTGCACGGCTCGCGCTCGCCACTCTTCACCTTGGGGCGCTCTGGGTCGCCACGCCAGTGGCCAGGCTGATCGCAGTCAGCACACCGGCTGTTAGCCTTGCGCTGGTCTGTCGGCTTTCGACCAGCCTGGAAGGAGCCGCTGGCGTTGATCTTCTTAGGGCCCCGCTGCCGAGGAGCAACGAATCCGCGCTTCTGACGCTGTGCCGCCGTCTTCTGCTTGGCCCTCCAGCCGGCCAAGAACGCTTCCTGAAGATCCTCCGGTGCCTCGTACTCCTCGTCATCTGGCCCGTCGTTGTCCGACGCCAGCTCCTCTTCGACCTCGGCGCCGTCCTCGAAGATCCCCTCGCCAGCTCCGGGGTCTCCATCGTCCTGTTCATCTGCTTCATCTTCGTCGTGCTGCGCCTCCTCCAGGTCGCCGTGGTGTTCATCGTAGTCGTCGCCGTTCTCTACCTCGTGCACGTGCTGGCCAGAGCGTCCTCGCAGCACGCACGGCCTACGAGCCATGGGAGGGTGCAGATAGCGACCGCCCGAACTCCCAGAGGAGCGCCCGTGCTCACGCTGCGCCGCAAACGGCGAGCGGCGAGGGAGCACTGAGCGCTTCTCGGTGTCGTGCACCTTCGAGTAGGCTGCCTTCAGCACGACCTCCATCCGCTTCGAGTCGTAGATGCCGCCACAGTTGAAGAGCACCTGCGCTCGCTCCTTCTGCGACAGTCCAGTGCCACGAAGCATCTTGCTCGCCAACGCGCGATCGCTGATCGCTGAAGTCGGATCCTCGAGCTGCAACTCCATGCGCTTCTTGCGCAAGTACGTGGTCCAATCCACGATCGGCTGCCCAGCTCGACGGTGTGCTCGCTCCCACTCCTGATGCACCTGATCGAGGCGCTCGTGATCCATCTTCTCGAAGGCGTCGTCGTAGATAGCAAAGATGGTCTCGAGCGTCTCCTCGCGTCGGAGGTCCGACGCGTCAAGCACCTCGATGAGCTCTTTGGCTCGACCTGTCACTTGACTGTAGATGATCAGGCCCAGCTCCACATCTGAGAGCTGGTTGAGGTTGCGAATGACTTCGACCTCCTTGCGCCACTCTCGGTACTTCTTAGTACTCGTACCGACTGCACCATCGAACTCTGGGGGCCTCACCTGCGACAGCAGTAGACGTGCCCGTCTGGGACCGCCGTCGCCACCACGATCCCGATGCAAGGCCAGGATATCCCGCTGGGTCTCGGCCATCACGCGCAGGACCGCATGCAGGTCCGGGGGACCTGTGCCTGCGGAGGACGCAGCCTCCACTTCTGAGCCGTCTTGGCTGGCGGCCATGGCGGCCCACGCGGGTGGTCACAACCACCGAAGCAGAGCACGCAGTGCGTCCGCTGGAGCTTACTAGCTCCGCTACCAATGTCAGTGCAGTTGTTTTCAGCAAAAACCGCGCGGCAGTCCAACTGCGGGTGCGTCCCAGGGCCCTAGGACTAGGGCCAAAACAGCGGCGGGCAGCGTGCATGCCACAAAACAAGACAAGCGTGTACAACATACACACATGGTGGCACGGGCGGCAGAGGGGCAGGGGAGTGCACTCTTCACACCATCGTGCTTTTGGGTGGGTCAGCCGAGGCGTCGCGTGGTGTCGCCTCGTGCGCTGAGTGGGTCTGCAAGATGCCGAGTGGTGCCCGCCCGTTGGCGCCCTGGAAGGGGGCCCGTGCGCTGGGTGCAACGGCCGAGGTATACTTTGGGGTCGGCTCTGGCAAACATGCATTTTCACATGGCACGCCTGTTCATACCTCAACACATACATATACACATGTCTATCAGTCGCGCTTCATATGTATATGTGTATACATACATGTACGCATGTATGTATATCAATGTATATATATGTGTGTATATATATATATATATATATATATATATGTATTCCCCTTCCTATATTTTTATAAGCCCGGGCGGGGGGAAAACCCATCCCCCCCGCCCCCAAACCGGACTCCCAGGACCTGGGGCGTTGGGGCCTTCCGGACGGGCCTCGAAGCGGCCACCGGGCCTCGCAAGGCGTTTTGCCAAGCCTTCCCAGCACACTTAGGGCGATCAGGGGTATCATCGGAGACGCCCCAGAGACCCCCAAGACAGCACAAGAGCGCTCCAAGAGTGACCGACGTGACCTCAAGATGGCCCAAGAGGCCTCCAGGACGGCCCCAAAGAGGCCTCCAAGAGCACTCCCAAGAAGGCCCCCCGAGGCAAAAATCATTGATTTTCTATGCGTTTTGGTGAATTTTGGGGTTCTCCTCTTTTCAGCTTCCCGACGCTCCAAGACGGCGGTCTTCTGGGCGTCCGAAGCCGCCTGGGAAGCTCCCAAATCGCCCCACAACCATCCGAAAGGGCTTCCAGGCAGCCCAAGAGAGCCCCAAAACGGCACAACACGGGTCCAAGATGGCCCTCAGAAAGCCCCATGGCGGCCCAAAATGGCCCAAAGACACCCTCCGAAGAATTCCAAATCGTGATCCAGTCGTTCAGGGAGACGGCGGTTGGAGGCAGGGTGGCCCGAGGAAACCCCCGGAGGCCCCCAGAATGCGCCCAGGAGGCCTCCAGAAGGCCTTAAGAAAACCCGAAACAACTTGTGTGAGCCCCCTAGAGGCTCTCCAAGGAGGAGCCTCCGCAAAAAAGAGCTGAGCAGGATGGGGAGAATGCGCAGTGTACGGCGAAAACAAGGAACAATAAGCATGGAGGAAGGATAACGAATGACATCATTATAGCGGCGATGCCGGAAAAGGCAACCAGGAATTATCGCTAATTTGTCGGCTTGACCTTCCTGCCATTCCGCCTGCATACCAAACTTCAAGGACCAAGGTGCATGGCGCGAAGCGCCACTGCAGTCTTGTATATATATATATACATATATATATATATATATCCACACACACCCTGATCTCTTTCAGGCCAGCATCTCGACAAGCGTCCTTTCGCAAGCGTTGGCCTTCCTCGAGCTGCAGCAGCCCTGCGCGACCACGGGGGTCGTGCAACCAGGGGAACCATAGCTGCATCTCCAGCGCCTTTTCATAAGCTCGTCACACCAATGGAAGCGATTCACACCGACGGCCTGACACGATACAGGGAGTGGACCGACAGGCACACAACTGATATCTACAACGCCTGATCTTTTTTGAGGCAAGCCTTGGCCAACCTCGAACTGCAGCAGCCGTGCGCGACCAAGGGGGTCCCGCGGCCAGGGGAATCACAGCGACCTTTCCAACGCCTGTCACAAGCCTTTTGCAATTCTTAAGGGTGGGCGGGCTGGGTTGAGCTATAACCCAACATAACAAATCACATCGACGGCCTGACACGATATAGGGGGTGGACAGACAGGCGCGCGACTGGAATCCACAACGCCCCATCTCTTTCATGCCAGCATCTCGGCCGTGTGTGTTCGCAGGCGTTGACCAACCTCGAGATGCAGCAGCCGTGCGCGACCAAGGGGGTCACACTGGCCTTCGGGCCGCCACTCGCAACAAGGCTCTGTGAACCGATGCCACTCAGGATTCTCGATCAGCCTTTGCCGGGGTCTTCCGGGGCTCTCTTGGGCCACACCTGGGCCGTCCTCGGGCTCCCGCAGCCAGGGCAGGATGGTCGGGCCTCCAGCTGTGTCGGAACGCGTCGTCGACGTGAAAGGGGAGATCAGAGCACAAGCAGGGCTGGATGCGCAGTAGCAGCAGCAGCAGCAGCAGCAGCAGCAGCAGCAGCAGCAGCAGCAGCAGCAGCCGGGCATGCACAGATCGGGGCCTCCTGAGGTCGCCACAGCGACCATCGCCCCTTTCAGCCTCGAGATGCTGGTCCGCACGGGGGCCCGGTACTCGCGCTCGTCGGAGTTCCTTCGCGGGCTGGGCGACTGCCGCCTCCGCGGGTCGCGCGCCAAACCCTCCGGCCCACCAACGAGGAGGAGCGGGGGAGGAGAAGGCAGGGGGGTGCCGGGCCCTGCGGGGGGCCCTGACAGAGAAGGTTCCAGGATGCTCTTGGTTGGTGCCCGCAAGACTCCTCAAGGACGTTCGAGGAAGGGGGGGGCATGACCAGGTAGAGGAAGAGGAATAATGGGAGGACGAGAGGGAGGAAGGAGGAGAAGGAGGAGGAGGAGAAGAAGGAAGGAGGAAGAGGAGAAGGAGATGGCAAAGGGCATGAGACACGGGAGGAGCAGGAGGATGACACAGAGGACGGCGACATCCTTCCCTGCCCATCGGGAGCGGAACTGGGAAGCATGGTCGAGAGACAGCTGGAGCAGGTCGGGCAAAGTCGGGTCGGACGAAAGGGGGAGAGCACACGTTTAAAAGGACGGCCCTTCAAGAGCACGGCGGCTGGACCGGAGCCAGGGGTGCACTGTGGATCCCTGTGTGAGTCACGAACGTGAAAGCATGGGATGCCTTGGGAGGGGTAGCAAATGAGGGACTCGCGAAGCAGCTCACGCAGCTGACTTTCTTGACGCCTCCGGGCACCGGAGGCATCAAACGTGCCAAGAACGCGCCAGGCGGCGGGCCAGAACTAGCTGCCCCCTTCACTTGTCGAAGCTTGAGCAGGTAGCAGGAGGGGGGAAGGCTTCTTAGAAGGAGGCTGCGTCCTAGAAGGCGCGGGCTTTGCATCTGCAGAGAAGGCCCGCGCCTTCTAAGACGCAGGGATGCTCCTAAGAAACCTTCCCCCCTCCCCCTGCCCCCCTCTGCGCGTGGCTGACCCGCCTGCCCTGTCCCCGCCTTCCGTCCGACACGACGACGCAGCGACGCAGCACCGGCCAGGAGCCTTCGCAGCGTGAGTCGCGGCCACGGCCCCTGCGGCGCGCTGCGCCCTGCAATCACTGCTGGCGCGTCGCCGCTCTCCGTTCCGTGGGCCAGGAGGCTGGGAGAAGCTGGGAAGTGGACGCCTGGGGCCCGGGACGTGCTCGGGGTGTCGCGCCGAAGCGTGGCGGACCGCCAGGCACGCAGAAGCTCCTGACCGTGCGTGGAACCGTCGGGTGACGCTGTCTGCCCTCCCCTCTGGTCGTCGGGGGGTGCGGCTGGCGCTGGAGAGATGGCGTGCAGCTCTCGATCTGCGAGAGAGGCACGCTGTCCCTGTGAGGCGATCCCACCGCGAGGGCCCCTTGTGTGCGCGCCATCCCCCGTCCAGAGCTTCTTCGGCGCATGCTGTCCCCAAGGCGGAGGATAGCGTGTCATAAGCGGGCCAGCGGCCCCACATCGCACGGTACAGTTCCAACGCCAGCCGCACTACCTACCCCCCCCTCCTCCTGCTCCTCCTCCTCCTCCTCCTCCTCCTCCTCCTGCTCCTCCTCCTCCTCCTCCTCCTCCTCCTCCTCCTCCTCCTCCTCCTCCTACCCCCCCCTCATGCCCAGCCATCCACGCCGCAGGCGAACCAGCGTGCGGCGATCACTCACCACTCCCGTGTGCCACCCGTGGCCATCCAAGGCTACATCCAGCTATCACTCATCATTCCAACGCCCAATTCGTCGCGTCGACCGTCGGGGCAGAGGCAGCGCCCCACAGGTAATTACCACGCAAGGTGTGTGTGTGTGTGTGTGTGCATGTGTGTGTGTGTGCGAGTGTGTGGATTTGTGTGCGTGTGTGTGTGTGTGTGTGTGTGCGTGTGTGCATGTGTGTGCGAGTGTGTGGGTTTGTGTGCGTGCGGCTTCTGAGGGGCCGGCCGCGCGCGCTTTGAGTTCCCTCTGACCAACTGCTTCCGCCTCGTCGCCTCGCGCGAAGCCACGGTCGCCCACACATTTTTTGGTCGGCGGGTCGAGAGCGGGCCTCTTCCGGTTAAGAGCTAGGCGGGGCGCGCAAAGCACTAATTGGGGAGACAAGACGATCGCCCACACATCTGTATGCGTGTTCCCTGTCCCCCGCCGGTCCCCTCGCGGCTGCCCCCCGTGAGTGTCGCTGCCGATCCCATCTGGGCGGATGCAGCGCCTCCCCGCTGCGTGAGCTGGGCAAGCGCGCGGATCTCTCCTGCACCGCAACGCCGTGCGCGTGGCCGCTGATGAGTCCTTCTTGCGTGGTGCTGCATACGCATGCTTCGGCGGCGCCGCCTCGCCCCGGCGCCGTCCCGCCCTTTCTTTCTCCAGCCAGCCTGTCCGGACTGATGCGGATCTGCTCGCCACCCCCGTCCTGGTCAGGCGCTGTCTTCTCAGAGCGTGAATTACCTCCCCCGCTTTCGCTTCCAGGCAAAACCAAGCCATACCACGCGCCTCCTCGTCAAGCGGCCTGACCAGTACAGGCCGCAATTTGGCACCGTTTGGTATCCCTTGGAAGCGAGGGTGGTCAAAAGCGAGGGAGGTTTGTTTTCCCCCGATCTTCACCCGACCGGCGGATCGCCAGAGACGGCCTCACCGACCGCCTCATCCTGGCGGCCTTCGCACTGCCAGGCTCCGACCGCCACTCCACCCGCCGTGTGGCGCGGCCCCCCTTCACTCGGCCGGCGGATCGCCAGAGGCCTCCACGAGAGGATCGCCGGCCATCGGCCTCGGCGCGCCGCCTCACCCCAGGGCGCCCTGCTGCACTCCCCCGCCCCCCAGCGTCGCATTGCCGCGCTGCCGGTCCGCTCTTCAGCCGCAGCTTGCTGCCGCCTGGGCAGCTGTGGATGTGGCCGCTGCCAGGCCGCGCCACTGTGCCACGCGGCCGGCGGATCGCCGCAGACGGCCTCACCGTGAGGATCGTCGGCCGTCCTTTCGTCCACGCCGCCTCACCCCAGCGCCTCTCCTCCCCGCCGACCCCCGTTTGCACTCGGCCGGCGGATCGCCGGAGACGGCCTCATCGAGAGAGTCGCTGGCCGCGGGCCTCGGCCCGGCGCCTCACCCCGGCGCACCCTTCTGCCCCCGCTTGGCGCTGCCGCGCTGGCGGCGCGTTCTCCATCCAGGGCTTGTGGCCGCCTGAGCAGTTGTGGAGCTGGCCGCTGCCCCAGGCCGCGCCGCTGCCCCACACGGCCACCAGATCGCCAGTGACGGCATCACCGCCCCCCACTTTGCAGCCGCCCGCCGCCCACTCGGCGCCCGACTGCACCTTTGCTGCGCCGCCTCGCCCTGGCCAGACCCGCCAATCCGCACCTGCGCCTCTCGCCTGCTGGCCCGGCTGGCCCTGCGCCTCTCGCCTGGGTTGCGACCACTAGGCTCGCCACGTGCCCGTGCGGTACTCGAGGCCCCCTTGCTGGGCCTTGCGCCGACGCTTTGGGGCCTCCGCCCGCGCTGGCCCTCGGGAGGCCGCGGTCCTGCAGAGCCCGCCCGCTGCCGAGCGGCCGCCCGCTTGGCGGTGGCTGCCCCGCCCCTGCCCGCGCCGCTGCCTGGCGCCACCCGCTTGGCGACGCTGCTCCGCCCTCGCCGCTGCTGCCCCGCCGCCGGCCCGCCGATTCCGCGGCTCTGCTGCCTGCCTGGCCCCGCCACTGCCCCGCGAGGGCCCGGTGGGCCCACTTCCTTTCTTGTACTGGCGCGCGCAAAGACGCGCCAATGGTGACCTTCGGACGGCTTGAGGCTCGCCTGCCCAGCCGCGACGCGAAAAAAGTGTGTTAGTGTGTGTGTGTGTGTGTGTTCGTGTATGTTTGTGTGTCTGTGTTTGTGCGTGTCGGCGTGCGGCGTGATCTGGGCCTGCCCGCTCGACCTGCACTGCGCCGCGCCGCTGCGCGCGCGCGTCCGCGACGCCAGAAAGGTGTGTGTGTGTGTGTGTGTGTGTGTAAGTGGGTGGGTGGGTGGGTGGGTGGGTGGGTGGGTGGGTGGGTGGGTGGGTGTAAGTGTGTGTAAGTGTGTGTGTGTGCGTGTGTGTAAGTGTGTGTGTGTGTGTATGTGTAAGTGTGTGTGTGTGTGTGTGTGTGTGTGTGGGTGGGTGGGTGGGTGTGTGGCCACGGCCGGCCTGGAAGAGATCTTTTTGAAGGCCGATTTTTTGACGGCCGGGGGCGCCGAAGAAGCCTTTGCAGGCCGAAACGGGGGAAACAACTCCTCCCCCCCGCCTCGTCGGAAACTATATGTGTATATATATACATATATATATATATATACATATTTACATACATATGTGTGTATACACATATGCCGTGGCTCCCAGGACACCTTCTGCAACGAATTGTGTTCCGCGGCTCATCCAGCCTTCCACACGGGGGCCCCCAAGGCAAGAGGCATATCGGTCAAAAGAATTATGTTTCAAAAGCCTCTTTGGAATCTCAATCAAGAGCCTTGTTCTTCATAGCGACAGCAGCGGCCGGGATGGCAAGCCCGGCGTGGCCTGCTCATCTTGCTTGGGCTGGAACTGGCGGCGGGCTTGTCGGTTAGGTCGATGCCTCGCCGGGGCGGCTTGGTGTACCCCCGCTGGGGGTGGCGAAGCGAGATGGAACAACATGTTTTCATAGTGGGGGTCACCAACCTCTAGCGGCGCTGAGATTCTTAACCCCGTAAAAACCAGCGAAGGTCGGAAACCGGGGCTGCGAGCCAAGGTCAGATAGACATTCGAGGGGAAGGCAGGAAGGGGAAGATAATCACAACAGAGCACACGGCAACATAACACAGTGGTGACAGGGAGGACAGCGAAGGAGGAGACACAGAGGCGATCGATAGACTTATGGACGTGAAGCGCCTGAAACTTGTCAAGACGTCTTCCTGTGGCGTGGGTCGATGTTATCATGCACATGTTGTGGCGTTGGCTTACCGCGTGTCTGCATTAGGGAAAGGAAAGGCGGTGATCTACTTGTTACTTGGCGGCATAGTGGCGCCAATCCAACCTTGTGTTCAGAAGTGCCCCTTGTGTCATGGACTTCGCCGCACGCTCTAAACTGAGACGAACACTGTAGCCTTTGGCCATCCACCACCGCGCTTTCACTACGCAGCGGAGTGCTGAGACGCCGACACGCTCATGCAGATGTGAGTCGTAGAAAGATCGTAAGAGATTAAGTTTTAAAGCGCCGCCCATCCCCACACGCCACGACAACGGTCACGAATCGTCCCTCAAGCTCTGCTCGGAAGGCGCCTGAGGCTCCGGGACTTGCCAGCTGCCCCAGATCAGCCCAATGCGGCCGACGATAGCATCCAAACTTCCAATCTTCACAAGCGGCGCGCATAACTATCTGTATCCGCGCCCTCGCGGTCTGCACTCCGAAGCGCGATCCCGCGGATACGCGGTCGCACGGGTACGTTCCGCGCGGGGCATCCACGAACAAAACACCCCGTATCCGCGGGGGCGGGGCCCAGGGGCCCAGCCCGCGAGGCCGCGAATACGGATATGTATTTCGCCCATGAAACATGTCCCAAAGAGGCCATCCTGGAGTTCTCTTGGGCTCTTGGGGGCCTCTTGGGCAGTCTGGGACGCTCCACGGGCTGGCATGGAGAGCAAAAACACTTGAGAACAACGTGGCTTTCGTATGGTGTTCGCAGGCTCGCCGCCTTTCGGACTTACAAGCGTCAAAGACGGCCCTGGAGCCACCCAAGATCGCCCCAAGACGCCCCGAAGATCGCCACAAGAAGCCCCAAAGATGGCCATACGTGTTGGAACTCCGAAGAGGCCTTGGAGGCCCTCCGCCACAGGATGGCCCCCGGTACTGCCTCCAACCATGGAAGAAGCGCCCAAGAGGCCACCAACGGGCTCCCAGGAGGACCCCAATAGGCCTCCAAGGTGTCCCCAAGAGAGGCAGCAAATCGTGCCCAAAGGGGCCCACTGACATAGACACATATATATAGATAGAGGGAGAGAAAGAGAAAGAGAACAAAAAAAAGGCCTCAAGTACACGATCCAAGTACGGGGACGGGATGTGCCGAATGCCACTACAAAACCGTACGTACATCCAGCTTGGTAATACATCCAGGAAGTCACGGACTGTTCAATAACAGGTGGTCTTGCAAGTGACAGAACAACCATCCAACTGAATCCCTCGCTGTCAACGCCTACGTGCGGACTGGCACGTCTTCTTTCAGAGCAAAGCACGAATCGAAACTACGCGTTCATCTACAAGCATGTCAATAACGCGCTGTGTGGGTCTGTGTGTGAAGCGCGCGGCATGGCGCAACGCAGGGGATCGCGCATCGTTGTCGCGAGCGCTATCTCGTCGCCATCTGTGTCGCCGCTGTCGCAAACGTCCACGGCGTTGCCGTCCGCGTCCATTCGGGTTCAAATGAACTCCACATCACGACATCGAATGCCAACATTTGGGCGGAAACGGTTCGCTGCCTTCCGCAGCTTGACGGGGGAAAACTGCGTCTGCAGATGAGCCGCCGCACTCCGGGCTTCTCTAACGTCGGCGCAGGAACTGCGCGCGGCAATGCGCAAGCACCTCGAGCATGTCAGACCGTGCGGGCATGCCCCTGCATCCTTGTTTCCACGCAGGCACCGCTGGAATTCACTCGCGGGCGCAGGCGTTGCGCATGGCAACGTGCCAGCCCGCCACAACGTATGGCGCATGAGCCAGGGGGGTGAAATAGTTTAGCGCGGGCACTGCAGGCATTGCGTCTCGTCGGCGGGGGCGCAGCACATAACAAACTGTGGGCGCCGGTGGTCAAAACGTCGAGTGCAAGCATAACCTAGGTATCGTGGCGTCAGCGCTGACTTACGCGGGTGACTACAGGCATCGCGGCTTTAGTTCAAGCGCCGCGGGCATGTCTTTTGGTAGGCGTTGGCACTGGAGGTGGCAAGGATCAAGTACCGCAAGCACGTCAAAATACTGGGTGCAGGCATGGCCTGGCCGTCGTGGAGTCAGCGCTGGCACCGTGGGCACTGCTGGTATATCGGCGCATGCCTGGCCACAGAAAAACGGGTGGAGCAGAGACGGAGTCGAGCAGGTGGGGGCGCCGCCCATGTATTGATATTGTACCGGGAGGTGGCCCCAAACAAAAACGGCGCCGCCCTCCGCCGAGAACCTGCATGTGAAAAGCGTGTTGGCGACAGGCAGGGGCAACGCGCGGTCCAAAAGCTCAAAAGTACACTGGGCACGCGCCTGTAGGGTCGACTCGGCGCGACACGTGGCTTTCCATGGCCATACTTGCCCTACTGATCCCCGAACATGTTTTCAACCTGCGGCAGCACACCTCGAGACCTCAGTCTGAAGAGGGAACTGCCTCACGGATTGGGTGAACGCGCTGCCGATGTCCGCCGCCGCACATTGCAGCGGCTGGCGTGCGTGTGTGTGTGTGTGTGCATGTATTTGTGTATGTGCCCGTGTGTGCGTCAGTAACTCGCTTCCCTCAACAGCTGGCCTGTAAGGGTTCTATAACATTCTTCTGAAGGGCCGAGTACAGGGACCTCCAGATCTGGAACAGGTCGGGCGCCTTGGTCTACCACTGTCTCCCGTGGACTCCCGTGGTCGCCCATGGTCTCCTGTTGCTTCCTGCCAGTACCAGTATTAATGTTAGCCATCGGACTCGTGATCGCATTAACATTAGCATCAGTATGCGTATGGGAATAAGTCTAATAAGTAGTAAAATCAGTATGGACAACCGTCGTCATACAAATTGGTCAACGTGGGCCCCAAACCGTGCGTTGAAAGGGGTGAAAGGTGAAAAGGGGCGCAGCTCCGAAGAGGCCTGGGGATCGGGCGCACCGCACCGCGTGAAAAGCCACTCACATGAACCACTGCACGAACGAGTCCACCTGTCGCAGTTCCCGGCTACTGCAGTCCAGCTGCGATGTCCTTCCGTCGCACAGTAACGCCTCAGCTGAGTCTCCAATTTCATGCGTCTGCCGCAAGAAGGTATGGTCAGCCGGCCCCTGCCGTCGTTCTTGGTGCCCCCCATCCACTCGGAGTCCCTCCGCGACGTCACTATCCGAGCCCACGACGCGGCGGTCACTCTCCAGACGTGCCCCGCCTACGACCACTTGGGCGTGCGCATCCGGCCAACATCGCACTCCCAGTGGCCGCGCCTTGTCCCGCGCCTTCTTCGTCACCCGCTGGATATATATATATATATATATGTATGTATGTATGTATATATATATATGTATACATATATGTGTATACATATATATATATATATATATATATATGTGCCGCTGCTCCTCCGGCGCCCGTCTGAAGCCACAGATCCGGCGCCCGTCTGAAGCCACAGATCCGGCGCAGCATCTTGTTTCGCGCAACAGTCAGGAAGCGGATCTCCGCCACGCTTGGCGTCCACGAGCTCGCGCAGTACAGAACACATGCACCAATACCCAGTCGTGTCAAAGAGCTTCAGCCTGCAGGAAAGAGAGACGCCTTTGCTCAGCAACCTTCTTATGCATTGCCTAGAATTTCCGCCAACCTCTCGCTACGCTGTGGACGATATCTACCCTCGTCGCGTGGCTTAATGGGAGCATCGTGCCCAGCGCTTCCAAGGGCTGGCCCTCCTCCAGCACATTGACCGAGTGTCCACCTTCCAATACAACATCCCCCCGCAGCGCCCCTTCAGGTCGGTTTGGTGGCACATTGCATTTTGTGAGGTGCAACTTGGGGCCTCTCTCTTGAAGAGCAGCTTCCAAAGACAGTACTACGCGCTTGACTAAGTTCAGAAAATGAAGACCATGCACTTCAAACCAAGATCGTGGACTTCCAACACTGCGTTTTTGCACTGTGGAGGTGAACGCTATGCGGCGTAAGCTATGTTGTAAAATATATGTATTGTAGGCTCGGTGGTGTGAGGCAATTACATAAAGGTAGAAGCTATACGGTGTGAAGTATGTGGTGTAAGCTGTGCCGTGTAAACTGAGCGGTGTGAAGTGGACGCGAAAAGCATGGAATGTAAGACATTTTTCTTCCACCAAACGAACACACGAACCGCAAACAGCATATCATATCCACTTCCCATCACGGGGGCTATAACCAACCCATTGAAAAACACTCGGACGCGTGAACGGAAATGCCCAGTATCGATTGGCCGGGTAAACGTCACCGCATTACTCGGAGAGGGAGAGGAGGGAGGGGAAGGGAAAAAAACAGCGTTGTGAATGCACGACCCCATGATTCGTACGATCACTCGTATATACGGGCACCCCACAAGACAATCAATGAGACGCAACACTTATATGACACAAGGTCGGAACAACCCCAGATTCCTGGCATGTCACCGCGGGGAGAATAGAAGAGGACCAGGGGAAGAAAACATATGGGACCAGCCTGAAGTCGAAGATAGGCCGGCACGTCCAGCATTTAATTGACTGCTGCACGACCCTCCCAGCTCAGTGTGACAGCTATGTTAGGAAATCTCTGCGATGTGAGACGTGTTATGTAAACTATGTTGTGAAACCTGTGGAGACACCAATCTGGGTGCAAGCTCAGAGCACCCGGCGCCGACGAGGCGCCTTCGAAGCGGCAACGTGGCGCAAACCCGAATACCTCCCAAGCGCGGGGCGCACACGAGGACCCCACGAGGCGGCTCGGGCGGCAGCGTGGCGCAAACCCGGCATGTCCCTCAAACGCGGGGCGCCCACGAGACGCCAACGAGGCGGCAATGCGGGACAACAATCCCATTTACCTCCGGACGCGGGGCGCCCACGAGATGCCCACGAGGCGGCACGGACGGCAACGTGGCGCACACCCGACGTATATACCCTGAAGCGCGGGGCGCCCACGAGACGCCCACGAGGCGGCACGGGCGGCCACGTGGCGCAGCCCCGACACCGGCATACCCCTGAAGCGCGGGGCGCCCGCGGGGCGCCCACGAGGCGGCACGGGCGGCGACGTCGCGCAAACCCAGCATGGCCCCCAAGCGCGACGAGGCGCCCACGAGGCCGCACTGGCGGCAGCGTGGCGCAAACCCGACATACCACTTGATCAAACCAGGCAGCAGCCCCTCATTGCAGGCACCGTTTGGGGACTTGGCCTCAGGATCAGTTGCAGGATTCGCAAGAGCATGAGTTCCAGTCGAAGCAACACTGCCAATCGCCAGGACTGGGACGCCTGGACGTATCAGTAGCAGTGCGCGTACCAGTATGAGCACATTCGCATCTGTGTTAACAGCACTCTCTTTCGTATGGTGATAGCGTTTGAAGTACAGGGCTGCCTACAATCTATGTCATTTGTAGCCTTGGTGTTTTTGATAGCAGTCTTTCTGATCGTATTCGTTTCACTGAGATGCTCGCCATACTAATATTGCTAATACTTAGTGGTAGTAGTGGTACGGAGGACACGGAGATGGACTGCTGTGCCCCTGTGAAAAACTGTGCTGAGTATTTTGCCGCAAGGGTGTCATTCATCAACTTTTAGCTCGTCTCGCCCTCGCGCCGTCAGCCGTCTCGTTCGTCTCGTATCCTCTTGACGGCCCCTGCTGCTGCTCTCGCCTGCTGCACTGCTTCCCACATAAAATCCATCGCCGTTGCTTTTAGCTCGGACGCGATCGCCTCCGCACCGGCCCGTCCCATCTAGGAAAACGTCTGCACGTCAGGCCCCGTGTCCTTCTGTTTCATCAGCACCGCTTCTTGCGGGGCAATGCTTTCGCATGCCCCCACCCAAAAAACATCGGTCCCGACAGGCGACCGTGTTGTTCGTCCCAAATCCCTGCGCCCGTTCGCCTACCACGCGGAGGACCTTTCCGTAGAGGAATCGCACGGATCCCCCCCACCCCCCCGGCGGCGGGCCCCAGCCCCTTCATCCCCCTTGGCACTTCCTTGCACACTGTTCCTGCTCATCGCATCGGCGACGTCCCATCGGGCTGCAATCGCGCGTGCTTCCCATGGCACACTTCTTGCTCGGCGGGACCTGTGCGAGGCATCGATCCGGAAACAGCCGCACGGGCTGGGTAAAGCAGCGGTTGGATGCTGGGGAAGGACAACCTTCCCTGCACACAAACACACACACACGCACTTGTTCCTCCTCCGGCGATGTGGCGCTACAATCGCGATAAACAATTGAGACAGGCAGCGCCGTATCGACTTGCAACCTGAGGCCAGGACGCCACTCGAGAACGAATGCGGACCCGACCCTGCACACCCAGACACACACTTTTATGCCATTATGCACATGCACACGCATATGTACATGCACATGCACGTACACATACACATACACATACACACGACACACAGACACATACACACACGCACACGCACACGCACACGCACACACGAACACACACACACACAGCACACACACACATATTGTAGCTGATGCGGAGCGGACCTTCTCCTGCCCTGGTTGACATCCCCCCGAACTACCACTCCAAAAGCTGAAACAGAACAGAAGTGCCACGGTGAGCGCCGAGTGGCGCCACCATACCGGCGGCCATGAGACTGAAGTGGGGCGATCATGCGCGCACACGCGCGCACGCACACGCGCACGCTTCCGAGCGTCGCGGGCTCGGCACACCACAAGCCATCCGACGGTCACCGCCGGCACGCGCGCGCGCTGGCAAGGAAAGGAAGCGAGACTGCCGCGCCCGCGCGTGGCCGTTGTGGGGCAAGGCAGGCACCGCGAGCACACGCACGCACGGGCGCACGCACACAGCGCGGATGGCAGGCGCGCGCGGCAGCACCCGCGGAGGGCGCTGCAGCTCCCCAGGCGGCCTGCGTCCTCGGCGCACTGGAGCACGGCCTGGCGGTCCGCCACGTGGCCGAGGGTCATCAGCAGCTTCGTGAAGATGCCCTCCTGCCGGGTCTCGGGCGGCCCGCAGGAGGCCGGGCGCTCCGCGGGCATCGCCCGCGAAAAAAAAAAGCACACGCCGCAGGCCAGGCCCGGCGATGCGGCGGACTTCGCTCAGCACCCCGTGCAGCGGGCGGCATACAGCGTATAGTGCATCCGACGAAGGGATGATCGCCGTCGGTGTTCGATGGGACGCACAAGGACATACTAGTACTATAAGCTATCCTTGGAGGCGCGCGCCTGACCCAAACATGTAGTATACCCATCTTGTAGTATATCGCTTCTCGAGCAGTGTGGCCAGAAAGCGCCCGCCACGACGCATATACTGTAAGATTTCTCGGTTCTCGCATCGCCCCCCGGGGGGGGCGACGCACATGTAGCATAAGAATGTTGGGGTGACGCCGATTTGATCCTGCTGAAGTGCGCCAGGGCATCTTTGGGCCCTCTAAAAACCCCTGGCCCACGAAGCTTCCGTGGGGGAACACCTGCTGGCTGGCCAGCCTCTCATCACAAGTGTGCCCACTGGTGCAAAGAGCTGGCTCGGAGCAGGGCGAGTTGAGACAACGGCAACTCACAATTGGTCCCCCAACCCCTCCAGAAGTACAAACTAAGCAGTGTTCCGGCGTGCGTCCAGCCGCGGCGACGAGGGGGCCCTCGAAGGCTAACTACCGTTGTCTCAACCCTGTGATCCGACGCTGCGAACAAACATGCAACATCGCGATTAAATCACAACCTGGAGCCCTTGATTCCACCTTTCTGGCACATGTTTCGAGCCCTTTCGATCTGTGAGGGTCCCAAGTTTAGTGGCTCTTGGAAACGACAGGGCGCTGCTTTTTCAATCTTCGTTTGCCGACTTTGCTCCTGGTTCTGGCGCCTTTGATCCAAATCCGTCGCCGTTTCTACTTCCGTTTGCGGCTCCGGCTTCGATCCCAGAATGAAGGGGAGGGGTGAAGCGTGCACCTTCCGTGCCCCTTTTGGGCACCAGGGGGGCCCCTCTGGGGCACAAAAAGTGCACATTGTCTCGCCCCCGTGGCGGGTTCCAGGAACCTCGAATCCAACCTGGTTGCCATCTCTTGGGGGCCATTCCTGACTTCCGCGGGCTCTCGCTGCCCTTCCGCCAGCTTCCGCTGGCGGAGGTCGCCTCGCTTTACTTCCGCCACCTTCCGCCAACCTTCCGCCGCCCTCCGCCACAGAAGAAGTGCCAACTCCCTCGATCCTCGAGAATGCGGGGCCTCTTCTCTGGAACGCCTCGTCAACCGCCCCCCCCCCCCCCGACTGCGCAACGCCCGAGAGATCGCCCGCACCGCCTCCACGGGGAGACGTGCGTGCCGAAGCGCATATGGCCGATGCGGCCCGCGCCGCCGCGCGGGCCGCCGCCGCCGTCTCTCTTCGGCGCAGAGCCCAAGAGCTTGCCAGAGGGCGAGGAGCGGGCGGCAAAACGCCCTCGCTGCGAGGAGGAGGCGCCCGCAGACGGCGCCGAGGGGGCGACCGCGGCGCCCGCGCGCCAGCCGGGGGCCCGGAGCGTCGCATGTGGCAGCTCCTGCGCCCGAGGTGCTCTCGGGTGCCCCCCATGCCCGAGGAGGTCTGCACGCCCCCTTCGCTGCGCAAGCTGCCCTCTGGCAGGCGGAGGAGGGAGGAGGGAGGAGGGAGGAGGAGGAGGATGGAGGAGGAGGAGGAGGAGGGAGGAGGAGGAGGAGGAGGATGGATGGAGGGAGGAGGATGAGGAGGAGGAGGAGGAGGGAGGAGAGGAGGAGGAGGAGAGGAGGAGGAGAGGAGGGAGGAGGAGGATGGAGGAGGAGGAGGAGGAGGAGGAGGAGGAGGATGGAGGATGGAGGATGGAGACGAGGACGAGGACGAGGACGAGGACTCGTCATCGTCGTCGTCGTCGTCGCCGCCGCCGCCGTCGTCGCCGTCACCACAGACGCTCTCTGCACAATACCGACTCTTCCATCGCCTGGCCCGGGTTCGACGAGATCTTGGGATGCCGTCGCACGACCTCACGGCCAACATGGTGACGGACCACTTCCAGCGCAGCAGTGCGATTCATAGCTTCGTGGTTGGCGCTTTTCAGCACCGTTGGATTCGGCAGAGTGTCTTGGTCTTCACTAGCTAGACTTTCGCTAGGACTAATGTTCGTGTCACCGCTCATTCCAACTGGTACCGCTCCGTGGCAACGCTCAGGTACCCGACGCACCGTGCCTGTGACCTTTTAGGGCCGCTGTTCGCGCAGGCGATAGTCGTTGTGGATGTATCGGCTGATCCGCGAGTTACGGCCTCCATGACATCGTCCGAGTTCCATCGGAGGTGTTCCATGACATCTCTCTCTCTCTCTCTCTCTCTCCCTTTCCTTCTCTCTCTCTCTCGCTCTCCCCATCTCTCTCTCTCTCTCGTTCTCCTCCATCTCTCTCTCCCTCTCGCCCTCTCTCTCGTTATCCCTCTCTTTATTTCTTTGTTTATTTCTTTCTCTCTCTCTCTCTTTCCCTCTCCCTATCTCTCTCTCTCTCTCTCTCCCTCTCTCTCCATCTCTCTTCCTCTGCCTCTCTCTCCCTCCCTCTCTCTTTCTCTTCCCCTCACAACATTAGCATGTTTGCGTTTCTTCTTATTATTGCTCTTCTTCTTCGTTTTCTTTTTCTTCTTCTTCTTCCTCTTCTTCATCTGCTTCTCCCCCCCTGCCCCCCCCCCCGCCGACCGACCTCTCGGAGAAATGGCCCCTACCCTCTCAGCCAGGGTGGGGGGCGCTGTGAGGCGAGCGTCCTTCGTGTAGTCGAAAACCCTGCGGGGCGGCCGTGCAGACTGCCTCCGCCACCCTCCCTCCTCCTCCCCTCCTCCTCCATCTCCTCATGCTCCTCCTCCCGTCCTCCTCGTCCATCTCCTCATGCTCCTCCTTCTCCTCCACCTCCCTCTCCACCTCCTACTGCCCCCCTCCCTCCCCTACCCTCCTCCTCCTGCCCCCCCTCCTGCTCGGGGACCGGCGAGAAGACGTCCGCACAGCACGCGTGCACGGGCGGCCGGGAGGCGGACTCCCCGTCGAGACCGCACGAGCTTCGGCATCTCCGCCTTTGGGTGCGCGCTTTGCTGCACTCCAGTTGGCGAACCCGCTATCACAGGCGAAGGGGAGGCAACCACAGCCGCCAGGCTGGGGAACTGCCCCTGGCGGCCCCAAAAGTAGGGAGTGTGTGCACGATAGCACCATCACCTGGAGGATGGAGGCAATGGGTGGACAGAGGTGGTGGTGGTGTATCTCTTTGCGGGCGCTCTCGCGGGACATCGTGCGCACCCGGCATCCCGCACAGAGGCTCATCCTGAATCCCCCCAGTGGGTGGTGGTGGTGGTGGTGGTGGTGGTGGTGGTGGTGGTGCGCTTCCTGCTCCCGACCAAAGGCCGACTCCGACGCCCCAGCGGTGATGACCTCCGAACGGCACTCGATATCGGGCGCCGCGGATGAAGTCATCACCGCTGCAGGGCGTGGAGGTGCCCGCAGCCCTGCGCCCACGACTCTGCCCACCAAGCAGAATCGTAAGCAGCATCGTGCGCAGTGCCACCGGACTGCTCGAGGCCACGTCTCGCAGCAACCTGGACGTGATGCCCTGCTGTCGCAGTCCAGCGGATGTGGCGGACGGCCTGGAGGTCGAACTCGAGACGGACCCTGCCGACGAGGTGGCCGAGGAAGGTGACGGGGCGTCTGCTGTACATCTGCCTGGCCCAATAAGCCAACCGGCTGACTTAGCAACAACACATCAGCACCCTAGACGTATGCCGTTTTGCTGGCGGGGACGTCCTGGGCAGCTGGGACGTGCGGCTGTTCGGCGCAAGCTGAGCGGCCGCGGGCAAGCACGCCAGTGCCCCACCCCCCTACGCCCCTCCGGAGGGCCGGGGCCGTGCGCAGCGCGGCGTCTACAGAGTCGCTCAGCGGCATCCGAAGACGGCCCCTGCCTCCACTGTGGGGCAGGGGCGTGCACGGACGAGGGCTTTGCTCTGTCGCCGGCGGCCAGAGGAAAGCCTGCCGTTGCGACTCCGGGTTTGGGATCCCGGACCCGCTGGGGGAGGGGCCGCGGGACGCGCCGGGCTCCTTTGCGCGCGGGGCTCCTTGACGCTTCGTGCCTTCCTCCCTGCGCTCCAAATCTACACTGGTTGTGCTGCGATCTGCCGACTCCTGGTTGCTGGCTCCCCTCCCGGTGGGGGGAGCCGGGGAGCCTGGGCATAAGGCGCGCGGATCCCCGCCGGTGTGCGGCTCGCGCAAGGAATGCGGCTGCGGAGGGGTGCGTCCCCTGTTTCGGGGGGTTCGGTTCGCCGTCGTCTTCTTCCTCGGGGGGCTCGCCCAAAGCTAGTTGGCATAGCTTAATTCCCGCTGGCACCGAAGCGCGTCCCTTACATGACTTTCCAGTGTGACAACTGATGTCTCTGACTGCGGTTGGCGACTTGGCCACCGTTTTCGACTCGGGAGTTGACTGTCTCCCCCCCTGGCACACAGATGGGGGCCAGGACCAGTGCGGCGGCCAGTAGTCTCCTCCTCGGCTGATGGTCGCCCTGCCTGGCTTTGCTTTTTGACTCCGGCTAGGCTTTGCGTGGCCGGCTTCTTCCACACCTTTAACTACGCTCGTACAGCGGTTAGGCGTCATACAGCCTGCTCGCCTCCAACACCTACGTTTTGCTGGCGGGGGTTGCCGGCTTCAACCAGGCACGAGGCACGCTCATCATGCACCCTCGACATCAGCAGCCCCCCCTGGTGCTGAAAAAATGCTGGAGGCTGTGGTCAAATAGCTCAGTACCCAAGTTGGCCCCTTTGAGCAAAAACGCTCCCAACCTGACCTGAATCCGAGGATGACGCAAGAATGGTGCCCTTGTTTTCCTTCACCCCATCCGAAGTGCTGCTTCGCACCGCTATACCAGAGCGATCCCACCGCGCGCGCGCGACCCCGCGGCCGCTCGACAGGGCGGACAGACCGCCCGACGCTAATGCGGCTCCACGTGCGCCAACGTAGGGGGAGCGGGGAGGAGGAGAAACCCTAACGGGCTAAAACCGAGGATTACGCAAGGATGGCCCCCTCATCTCCCTCCACCTCATCCGAACTCCTACTGTTCCTCCTCCACTGACCCCGGGCGGCTCGATTCTTCGCCCGAGACGTTGGCCGACCCGGCGTCCAGATCCTTTCCCCGAGGCCGTCCCGGGAGTCCCAGGACCGGTCCCCAGAAGTTCAAGGTGCAAACGCCCGATGGCGTTGTTTTGCTCGAGCCGCCAGGCGTCTGGAACCCTGCGCCTCAGCGCCCTCTCGGCTACGCGCAGGGGTGACCTCACACGCAGGAGTGGCCCTGGTCAGACGGCTTGAGGGGGCCACCCCGAGCGCGCAAGCCAGTGCTTGGGGGATGCCTGTAGGCCTACACCAAAGGTCACTCTGGCAAAGGGTCGCTCTTACGCGTAGTCGACTCTCCCCCTCCCCATGTGGGCGACTTCCGAAACCCTGAACCCAACAACGTTTTCGTCTCTTGGGGGTACATATTTTACTGCCGCCGCCTTCCGCTGAGCTTCCACCGACTTCCGCCAGCGGAAGCGGCCTCGTTTTACCTCCGCCGACCGTCCGCCGCCCTTCCGCCGCCTTCCGCGGAGGAAGAGATGACAACTCCTTCTGTCCTCGAAGGCAGGGCCCTTGCTGGAACGCCCATGTGGTCCCACACCTTTAGTGGCGCCGTGCCGTCTCCGCAGTGGTTGATGATGACGGGTATGAAGATGGTGGCAACTGTGCTGGCGGTTGTGGTGTCGCCAATGGCACCATTGCAGGTGTGCTTCACGCCCGGGCTGTTCCCAATACAGCCCGCACGCTCGCCATGATTCCATACATTGCGCTTGCGTTTGTTCCACCTCTTTTCTTCTCGGACCTGCCCATCAATTCTGGAGGCAGGCCATCCCATACCCCATGCTCCATGGGCTCGAATTGTGCACCAAGTCGTCCAGTCGTCCGAGAAGCTCAGTGTATGTACAGACGCCTCAACTTTCCAAGCTCTAGAATGCGGGAGCGCAAATCCCCGGCCCTTCGGCCGACCAGACGACGTGGGGTGCATAAATATAATACACATACTACAACATGTACTAGAACCTTTGCGCGCGCTTCGCGCCCGCTCAGGTTCTAGCAGGCCCCAGACCTTGACGAGTTTACTGCTCCACTGAAGTAGTGGACCACAGAACAGGAAGTGAAGCAGTGCCCATGATTCTGAACACATTCTGGGCAATGAGAAGTCAATGTATGTCAATCCGTATTCCGGAAGGCTTTCGGGGAAGATGGTTGCGTAGGGAGGGACGCCTGATGAAGCTGGTTCCCAGAAGGCCTTCTGGGGACATGGTGTTTGTGGGCGTCTCGGGGAGCCTGTTGGGGCGTGCCGTCGTCGTCGTCGTCGTCGTCGTCGTCGTCGTCGTCGTCGTCGTCGTAATGTCGTCGTCGCCTCTTGGGGCGCGCCGTCGTGTTGGAGTCCTCGTCGGCCGTCTTGAGGGCATCGTGGGCGTCTTCGGGGCCTCTTGGGACCGTCTTGGGCCCTCTTGGGAACCCCTTAGCCTGTCGTGGCCTATTTCAAGGCGGGCCAAGGCCGCCTCAAGATCTCCGGGCCCCCCCAGAATCCCTGGGGGGCACCGGCCCAGCCCCACCACTGGCCGACTCCGATATATATATATACATATATTTATATATACAGTTGTAAATACACTTATATGTATATATAGGTATATATGTACACATATACATATGTATGTATGTATGTATGTATGTAGGTAGGTAGGTAGGTAGGTAGGTAGGTAGGTAGGTAGTACGTAGGTAGGTAGGAAGGTAGGTAGGTAGGTAGGTATATACATATGTAGTATATATACATATCTGTCGAGGGGGGAGGGGGCTGACGCCATAGCTGACGCCATTCAGGCCAGGAGGGGGGAGGGGGGAGAGGGGGTGGCGCCATGGCTGGCGCCATTCAGGCCGGGGAGGGGGGAGTCGGGGGGGAGGGGGGGAGGGCTGACACCATGGCTGACGCCATTCAGGCCAGGGATGAGGGAGGGGGGGGGGGGGGAGCTCGCTCTAGCTTCACTCTGTCGGGGGGGGGGCTGACGCCATGGCTGACGCCATTCAGGCTCGGGAGAGAGACGGGGGGGAGGGCCGACACCATGGCTGACGCCATTCACGCCCGAAGAGGGCTCCAAGACGGCCCAAGAAGGGCCCAAGACGGCCCAAGAAGCCCCAAGGAGGCCCCCACAAGGCCCCCCAAAGATTCAATAACTTCCTCCAGCGCACCCCCAAGAAGCCTCCAGGATGCCTCCAAAAAGCCCCCCGAGAAGCCCAGGAACGCCCCCCAAAGGTGTCGTACATCAGCTACGTCACAATCCCATAAGTTTGGCTGTTCACGTGAGATCGTCACTTTCGAATATCCGAAGGTTGCCCAATCGAGTTCAACATCCGTATCTTATGAGGGTGTCTCGAGCGAGTGCTCTACTGTTAAACATAAGAGGGCATCCGGTGCAAGCAGAATCGGTAGCACCCCGGATCGGCGGCACTGGCCGGAGGCCACTACTATATATATATATATATATATATAGAGAGAGAGAGAGAGATCGCACTACATATGAAGCCCAATCCGAGCTCCCCCTGGGGTCAGGAGTAGGTGGGGTCGAAGGATCGCGCCGCATCGCCGATGCATCGGCGACGTTGGCGTGGAGAGCAGCTGACTCCTCATCGACCGACATCGCCGATGCCTCGGCGATGCGAAGCGATCCTTCGAGTAACCTACTCCGACCACACCTGGGAGGCCCAGACCCATGCAATCGGGTGTCGGGGTGTGCGATGCTGGAAACAAGGCCAGGGGCGACCCAGGCGGGGGCCCTCTGCTGGCCGCCGACCCCGGCGGTGCCGGCAGGTGCCGCCACGGAGGACAGGCAGAGTCCGCCTCGGCCTCGCCGACGAGGCGCCCTGCCAGGAGGCTCGTACGGTTGACGCATGCGGTGGGAACACTTCGCCACAAGAACTGAACCATCTAGGGGCACGTCTGCCGGCAATCTCAGGGCATCCTGCGGCCAGGAAACTTTTGCGCAGCGCGTCGCCGCGGCGGCCCTGGCGATAGGCTGTGCCCTCGAGCGGACAGCGTGTCGCTCCGCTTCGCGGTGCGGGAAGCTCGGGAATTTGAAGACTGAGGACCGCGACGCGGATAGCGTGTTGCGCCGAAGCGTGATGGGACAGAACTGGTGGGACGACATGCCAAGCCAAACCTCCCGACCGTCAGGTGCCCCACGGCTTCTGCCGATCACCAGGGCCACTGGGGGATCATACATTTCCCTGGGGCACCTGCTGGCGGCCTGGTTTCGTATCCGATGCGCCCACCGTGTGCTTGTTTCCTCTTCACTCGCCATCGTTCGGACGTCCAAATGGTTTCGTGCGTGGTTTTTCGCCAAATGATCAAGGACGCTCGTTGATGGCCCTCGCCGAAGGAAAAATGCACACGTCCGAGCGATGCCAAGTTCATGGGTCATCTGCCGCATCGAATGTTCCTTCTCAGCAGTCGGGTGCCCGCAACGTCTTTGCCGCTCATTGCCGCGGGGCCACGTTATAGAAAACCACGACGTCGGACGTTCGGATGTCTCTGATTGGCGCTCCTCCCTGGCCTCCCGCCTGTGCGCCCGTCTTTTTGTCCTCGCCTCTCCGCGCACGGGTGCGTCCGATTAGAGGACAGAAAATCCACCCCGTAAACGCACCCTAAGAAGGAATCAAGCAGGGCATGGCTGCTTTGTCAACGCCCAGGGCCGTTCAGTAAACGCAACTTGTCCGGTCCGGGTGTATTTTTTTTCCCTGCCTTGACCGATGGCCCCGGCCACCCCGATGGCCCCGACCGAAGGGAGACGCCAGCAGTCGGAGCAGCCCGGCCCGGCAGACGAACACCGGAGGTCCGTCCCTCGAACGGCTCAGCGGAACAGCCCAGCCCGTCAGGCGAACAGAGCCCGGCCCGGCAGACGAAAAACCCCCGAGGCCGCTCCCGAGAACTCCGAACTCCGAACGCCAACTCTGGAACCAGAGGCGTGAACCAATCGCCGTTCCGAGCCACCGCCTGGTCGCACTGAGCACTGGAACTCCCCCAGACAAGTCCCGAACCCCCCACGCCAGTGCTGAGCCCCCAAAACCCAAAACCCCGACCTGAACGGAACGGAGCGGCACCCAGTCTCGTGCAGCGCCCGGACCTGCGGGGCGCGCGGGCGGGTGGCACCGCAGTGCCTCAGACGTGTTCTCCTGGGAGGGGCCAGGACCCTCTTCCCCCCCCCCCCCTCCCCCTCCTCCTTCCTCCCTCCTCCCTCCTCCCCTCCCCTCCCTCCTCCTCCCCCTCCCCCCTCCTCCCTCCCCCCCCCCTCCCTCCTCTTCTCCTCCCTCTCCCCCCTCCTCCCTCCCCCCTCCTCCTCCTTCCTCCTCCTCCTCTTTCTCCCCCTCCTCTTCCTCCTCCTCGTCCTCCTCCTCCTCCTCTTCCTCCTCCTCGTCCTCCTCCTCCTCCGCCTGGGAGGCGAGGCGAAGCAAGGCCGATCGTCTTGCGAGGGAAGAGGGGTCGGCGGAGAGCCCCTGGTTTTCGCCCTTCTGGGGCCTCCTGGGAGGCCGTCGTCGCCACGGCTGGATCCGCCCCGATCCGTGCAAGCGTTGGACATCCCGGGCTTCGGGGTCATGGAGCGAGGAGGACGTCTCAAGCGAAACGCCCGGCCCGCCCTGCCGACACATGTCGGGCCCTGACGAAAAGGAGTAGTGCTACGTAGAAGGAAGGGGGGATGGTGAGGACAGGAGCGGATACGCGCCAAACTTTGGCCAGAAAGGGACCTGCAGGTGCCCGTGGTGCTGTGATGTCTCCCTCTCCCGACGGAAGGAAGTGGCGGTGGGGCTTTTGACACAGCAGCCCACGCGCAGCGGCGAGGCTTCCGACCCACAACTCAGGCACGTCGGTGATGGTATTGTATTGGTACTGCATGGGGTACTGCGGTGGCATAGGAAGTGAGTATGGTACTGCGTTGGTGCTGTATGTGGGTTGATGTTCTCTGGGGCTTGTATGCAGGCGCCTCTGGCCGATCATCGTATTGGTACTGTGTTGGCATTGTATTGGCACAGAAGGGGGAAGGGATGGAGGGAAGGGAGGAGGAGGGGGCGGGAGGAGGAATGAGGGGGAGGAGGAGAGAGGATGCGAAACAGAGACAGAAGGAGAGACAGAGATACAGACATAAAGAAAGAGACACACCGTGAGACAGAGAGAGAGAGAGAAAGAAATAACTAAATAAATAAAGAGAGAGAGAGAGAGAGATACGCCCCAACTCGGTGATTTCTCCACGCTCCGCCCACACTCAACACAAGAACGGCATCACCCAAGTGGGGCGGGCCGGCCGGAGGGTCGCCCGCTGAAGCCAACGGTGAAGGACAGGGTGGGAGGGAGAAACAAAAACATCGAGATAACCCTAATCCGGTGATTGCTCCAAGCGCCAGACGGAGGAATCGAAACGAAGAGAGAGAGAGAGAGAGAGCTACAGAGATAAGGAGAGAATGGTGGATAGAAAGAGAGAGAGATAAAGAAAAGAGAGAGAGACAAAAAAAACAAAACAGAGAGAGAGGGAGTTAAAACAGTGAGAGAGAGAGAGAAAGAGGGAGGGATATCTATATGCACATTTATATACATATATATATATATAGAGAGAGAGAGAGAGAGAGAGAGAGAGAGAAAAAAAAACAACAACAACAACACATCAAGTACTGCATATACAGAGAGAGAGAGAGAGAGAAATACAAAGAGAGAGAGAGAGTTAGGGAGAGAGTGATGGGAGGAGGGAGGATAAGGAAAAGAGGAGGGAGGATACAGAGGAGGGCGGAGAGTGGCTCAATCATGGGCTTTGATACCGAAGCCCAGGGGCCCCCAATTGCGGCAGGTTTGAGGACCCACTCGGATGCCTCGGGGCCCAGGAGGAGGGGACGGAAACGAGAGGAGGGAGGAGAGGGAGGGAGTGAGAAAGAGGAGAAGAAAAAGACCGAACCTCACTCCAGGCCCCTCCCCCTCCTCCTCCTGCTCCTCCTAAAGCTCCAAGCCTATAAATTGCCATATCGCACCCCCCCCTCCCCCCAGAAGGCGACGAGGTACAGTGGTAAGCACCAGAGCTGAGGCCAACGAGTTCGGCCAACGGTCGCCAGGTGTTCGCCTGACGTGCGCGGTCCCTGTTCCCCTGACGGGCCACCCTGTTCCGCTGACGGGCCTCGCGTTCTGCTGACGAGCCCGTGTTCAGATTGCGGAATCCTTCCCCGACTGAAGGGGCCCAGGGACACACAGATAAATACACACACATCCCAGGATTCCCAATATTTCCCATAGTTTCTCAGTTGTCGTCTTCCCCCCACTTCCCATGTTTCCCGACATTTCTTGGAATTGACGATGAATTGTGTCTGTGTGTTTGGTCCCTCCTTACCGACCACCGCCCGTGACGGGGGCGGATGTCGTGACGAGGGGCGCGGACCCGCAGCTCTCGTGCCGAGCGCTTGGACTTCCTGCTCGGGGCCGCGGTGTCGCAAGCTTTTCCCCCCCGCACGCGCTCGCTCCCTGCCTGCCCCTCCCTGGCCCGGGAGGGGCGGCGTGCTCGTCGAGGCACTCCGTGATCTTGGCCACCTCGAGCTCCCGGATCTTCCGCATGAAGAGCAGGAACTCGCGCTTTGTGAGTTGGCCTTGGAGGCTCTGGGAGGAGAGGGGGGGGCGGGTCCCCCCGACGCCGAGGAGAGACGGGGAGGGAGGTGGAAAGGGGTGAGGGGCACAGGGCGGGGGAGGAGGGAGGGGTCCATAAGAAGGGGGAAATGCTTGGTGAGAGATGAGGAGTAGGAAAGGACGTGGGATGAGAGCAGACGGAAGGAGGACGCGAGGAGCAGGAGGAGGAGGAGGAGCAGGAGCGGGAAGAGGCGTGGACCAGGCGAGAGAGAGCGAGATGCGCGCCGAAGGCGAGACCCATTCCAGAACACCCCATGCGCTTTTACGTGGGAGCTGCTCTCGCACGCATCCCGCAAGTCTCGCTCTCCCCGTAAGCGCTCCTGCCAAGGATCCCGTGCTTCCTCCACCTCCTCCTCCTCGCTCCGAGCGTGCACGCGAGAGCAACGCGGTAAAGCACAACATAATAAGCTTTATGACAACCTCGTGTGGCACACCCGCGCGCAACAGACGGGCCTGGCTCGAATTCCTCATCGGTTCCGCGTATCCCTCAAATTGATTGCGTTCCCGATCGCACCCTTTCAGAACATCGTGCTTACTTCTGCAACTGGTGGCGCCATTCCAGACACGCCGCTCTAATATTTTTCCTGTTCTTCCTGTGGCGCCCCCGCGTTGAATTGCGAGCCAACCTCGGTGTCCACCACGACGACGACGACCGACGAGACGGCGACGACCGGGGACGACGTCTCCATGGCCGAGGATCGGGGCGCCGTCCAGAGGCCGGCCAGGGCTGGCGGCGCGAACATGGGGGGAAGAAGGAGGGGGGAAGGCTTCCTAGAGGGAGGCTGCTTCTGAGAAGGCTTCCCCCCTCCCCCTGCCCCCCCCCAGTGCGCGTGGTCGACAGGGTTAAGTCGGGCTTGTCCCTCTACAGGAGGAATATTCAGCAAAAACGATCAAAAAATAGTCTGGGGACGATTTTGAAATTATTTTTGAAGATTCTTTTCAATATTGGTGTATTGTTCATGTTTCCTCCAAAATCCTGCAGGGGGACATTCCCGACCTAACAACAGGTCCGAGAAGGCGGCGGCACCAGCCTAGATTGCTGACGTCGACGCTCCTGAAGATGCGCTCTGCCTGGCGGTGCGGCCGCGCCCCTCCCCCCTCGCCCGAAGAGCGCCGCCCGGCCGCTCGAGCTGGCAAGGAGGTCCGGGGCTGCGCACAGACAGCCCCCGCGAGGCAGCCCAGGCTGGCCTTCGAGCGGCGCCCATTGGGGACTACCCCCTCAAAGATAGTGGAAGTCACATTGATGCGTCCCTCGAGGGACGCCTTGTTACTAAAGGTTGCCGTGAGATCTCACGGCAACCTTTAGTAAAGCGGCGATCGATGGGTGCGAGCTGAAGTGAGCGCTGTGATGCCCCCATCGAGCGGTGCTCATTGGGGGGGGGGGGGGGGGCGATGATCGGGGGGTGAAGAACAAAACGGGGGCGCCTTTCGTCGAGAGTGCGCCTTTTGGACTTTGTGGGCGGGGGCGCCCGCAGGCCGAGGACGCGCTGGATGTGGGTGCCAATCGAGGCCGTAGGGGCCAGACTTCTGTCCAGATCCCTCCTCCTCCTCCTCCTTCTCCTCCTCCTTCTCCTCCTCCTCCTCCACCTCCTCCTCCTCCTCCTCTTTCTCCGCCTCCTCCTCCTCCTCCTCCTCCTCCTCCTCGTCCTCCTCCTCCCGATTCCCAGTGCGCCTCGGGCTCCTGGGAAAAGGGGGCCGAAACACTAAAAGCTGCATCAAGCCTCCTCTCCCGCCCGCCCGAGCGCGGTGGCGGAACCGCGCGGCAGCGCAACTGGATACGGAAACTTCTCGCCGCTGTCAGCCTCCAGGGCAGTTTTCGTCGGGCAGCTGCTCGTGGTGGGAAGCTGGCCCTGGAGAGAGAGAGAGAGAGAGAGTCGGGATTTCTGGGTTCCAAATCTTGAACACAAGCGTGCGTCGCATCTGTGGGAGCATGCTGCCGAAAGCAGCAGGTTCCCCCTCAGACGCCGACCTCGGCATGGAGGAGCCGAAGGAGCTGGTTTTGCCTGGTCCTCGCTCGTCCACGCGAGTGCGCGTGCGTTCCCCGACTCTGCCGCGGCGCCGCGACGAGAAAGAACAGGTGGTAGGAGGAGGAAGAGGCGGAGGAGGGGAACGCGAGGCGAGGGGGGAGGCAGGGGGGATGCTGGAGGAAGGACGGATGAGGAATGGTACACGTCGTTCACGTCTAGTCGTGCTCATTTCTACTTGTGCTCGGTTCTAATTGTTCCTGGCCCCCTAGTGGCCAGGAAGAGGCACAAGATAGAACACTTAGAAATGAACTGATCTGGGCCCCAAAAAACAAAAAGAACTTTCGAATACTCACAACATGAACAACGTGTAGACGCAACCACGCCTGCGAGAAAGCACGGACTGGCCCGAGCCGCGGCGGCTCTCCGGAGAAGCAAGGCCTGGAATAAGGTCAGGGCTGCCCGTGTGGCCTCCGTGCGCGCGCGGGGGCTGGAACTGGGCCAGCCTCGGGGGGGCAGAAAGATATCGATACAGCTACTCTTAGGTCGGGCGTGTCCCCCTACAGGCGATTTTTTAAAGAAGCAATAAAACATCACCAAACAATGGTAACAACATGTTCAACAAGTAGTCGCCAGAGTATTTTTTGACTATTCTTGAATATTCCTCCTGTAGAGGGACACGCCCGACTTGATGCGATCCATATCCGCGCCCTCGCGGTCTGGATTCCGGGGCGCGATCCCGCGGATACGCGGTCGTACGGGTTCGTGCCATGCTGGGCATCCGCAAAAAAGAACGCCCCGTATCTGCGGGGACGCGGCCCAACGGCCTGGCCCTGGCCCGCGAGGCCGTAGATACGGATATGTTTTTCGCCCACGAGCTATCTCGGGGGGTCGGTTCTGACCAGGATTTTGCAGCGAATCCAGCCGTGGCCGCGATGGTAATAGGGTAGCGGTCTCGGTGTCATCTCCTCCTGTGGGCATCCACGACGCTGCTGAGGAAGACCAAATATCCGACGCCTAGAAGACAAAACACACTGTGCGATGTCGCTGAGGGTCAAGACCTGAACGCCCAACACCACGTGCATGATGGATCTGCTGAGCACCATCGACCCGTAAGTGCCCTGCGTCCCGACACGGGTCCGAGGACCTGGACCCGAGAGGGCAACGCACTGGGCCGACACGACGCGAGCGCTGGAACGAAACAGCATGGCGAAACCCTCTCAAGATCGGCACGGCTGTGCGCCACGCGCTTTGGGCGACCCCGTGGCGACGTCGGCAGCGTCGGCGCTTACCTCCCCTCGGGGCGGAGGGGGCCAGCAAGTCCGCTTCTGCCACGGAGGAGGAGGAGGAGGAGGAGGAGGAGGAGGAGGAGGAGGAGGAGGAGACGGAGGAGGAGGAGGAGGCGGAGGAGGAGGAGAAGGAGGAACAGGAGGAGGAGGAGGAAGAGAAGGGGTAGGAGGAGGAGGAGGAGGAGGAGGAGGAGGAGGAGGAGGAGGAGGAGGAGGACGACGAAGAGGAGGAGGAGGAGGAGGAGGAGGAGGAGGAGGCAGGAGAAGGAGGAGGAGGGGGCCCAGCAGGTCCGCTTCCGCCAGCCAGTCTTCCTCGGCGCCTCCCGGCGCCCGAGGCGACAGTGTATCGAGGGACGTGCCTGGCGGCGGAAGGGCCGGCTGCATGTAGCAAACTTCGATGCTTCCCCCTCCCCTCGTCCACTCCTGGCCACCTTGGCGGGGTGCCGCAGACCAGCCGCTGGCTTCCGCCAGCGGGGCCGCCCGCGTGTTGCGCTCGCTGGCGTCGTCCGTCTCTTCCTTGCTCAACGCGCTGCCCCGTCTGGGTCAGTTCGGCAGGCGACGTGCTGGGCATGCAGACCGCCTACTTTTTCCCATGGAACACAGCCCCATCATGTGTTATCACGCCTCAGACAGCACAGCGAAAGGATTCGCACTGCCACTGCAAGGTACCCCTAAACACGACAGCGCTTAGCAAGCCTGATGCCCGCGGTCCATCACGAAGCGCGCCGTCGAGGTGGCCTACGATAACAAAGGCGGAACGAAACGTTTGTTCAGCCGATGCCCCAGGCATCGCCAGGCAGACCTGACATCACAGGCACACAAATCACCCCAGGCTCAGTCCTTTCGCCCACTTGCGCCGAAAGCGGGAGATCAGCGATTAGGACTCGTCGCTGGCGATGCCCTTGCTGGAGCGCCCCACATCTGTTCTCCGCGCCCCCGCGTAGACGGCAGGGGCAGTGCCTGGCGACCGCGTTTTACAGACGACGGCCACGGCGACGACCGACGACAACGGACGACGACTGACGGACGACGACGGACGACGACAGATGACGAGGACGACAAAGACGAGGACAAGGACGAGGACGACGACGACGACGACGACGCCGACGACCGCGAGCAGGGACGACGACGACCGCGAGCGGCAACGACAACGAAGACGGCTCACCGGCCTCCTTGTGGCTGCACGTGTAGTGCAGGTAGTGCAGCACCTTCCGTCCAGGCGCGGGGGAAGGGAGGCTCGGAGAGCGGGGGGCGGAAAGGTGGGCGTCACCGGCAGGGCCTTCGCGCGCGGGGGACGCCGAGAGGACGTCGCCTTCCCCCTGCCATTATTCAGGGCAGTCGGTGCGTCGGTGCTTGACGGCCCCGACTGCGTCGGTGCTGGACGGCCCCGGGGACCCGCGAGGGTCCCGGGAGGCAGGACGCTGCGAGAGACCTCCGCCTTTGATGAAGGGGCCCCAGGACACACAAAGAAATACACACAAATAGGAATATTCCATGTATTGTCCCATATTTTCTGGATTTTTGTCTTCCCCCCCACTTCCCATATTTTCCAATATTTTCTCGGGAATCGACGATTCATTGTGTCTGTGTGTGTTTTTCCCTCCTGATTTGATGTTCGCAAGCTGGTGGATCCCTCTGATCGGTATGTGCTCCTTCTCTGACTGGTGGCGGCGCCGCCGCCAGCGGCAGCCGGCAGGCACGCTCGGCGGAGCGGGGCGCGGCCCTGCGGCAGGCACGGCCATGCGGCGCGAGGCGGGGCACGGCAAGGCGCGCTCGACGGCGGGCTGTCGGAGCCGCTGCTGCGGCTGGACTCGGCCACGGCGGCGCGCCTTTTACGGCAGGTGGTCGCGGCCGCTGCTGCGGGCGGACTCGGCCACGGTGGCGCGCCACTTTCTCGTGGACCGAGTGTTGTGTTGATGATAATTGCATGCTTCCCCGCTGAGGGAAAGGGGCCCCACTGCAGGAGCTAGCCGTGGAAGAGAGAAAAGAGGAGGGCGAGGAGCAGGGAAACGGACCTATCGCTTTGTGTAGGCAGCCGAGATTGCTCCGCCAACCATCCACGGTGGCGCGCCTGGACGATCTTGTCCCCACGCAGACACTGCACCCTTCGACAGCTTACACATCAGCTGGCACCGCGGAACAGCTCGACTTGCCAGACAAATCGTGAGACACGGCCTGAACGAGGGTAAACACATGCCTCCACCGCGGAACGGGCGCACTGCTCGCCATCACGGCGGAATAGAGCAAGAGCAACCCCCATCAAAGAAAATAATGTCCTGACGAAAAAGGTGGGTACTGGACAACCAACCTTTCACCCTGCGCCCTACTCTGACAATGCCGACGCCCAGGAAGGGCGCCCACGACAATGAAAAACCACAAAACACCTCCAGCACCCCTTTTCCCGCAATTCGAACAACTGCTGGCACGTTTTCGGTGGAACGATTACTTGATGCTGATTCCGATTAAGGGTCCAACAAACCATGTTCGCCCAGATTTAACCCAGGAGTCATCGGACTGGCCCAGATTCAGCAGACTTCCGGTGAGGGTATTGGATAAGGAACCAATGGATTCGGGCAGCTTCTGACCCGGGTCAATCCAGACACGGGTCAGTCAGGCCTTGCAAAATCCTGCAAGGTCCTGCAAAATCCTGCACCTAAACCCGGGTCAATGCGAAGGATACTGCAAGATCCTGCAGGATCCTGCACCCAAACCCGGGTCTATGCGACCCTGGCGCTGCAGGATCCTGCAAGATCCGGCGCTCTGGCTGAGCCCCGTTTGCATTGACCCCCGTCTCGAGGCTCCCGATGGATATGGAACCCAGTGCCTCGAAGCCGGTGGAACTTACATCGTGGATGGGCCATGGACATCACCGCCGCCCTTCTTGGATGGGGAAGCCCCCACGGCCTGAGGCCTCCCGTGCGCACTCCTTCGGCAGCGCCCCCGCCGTACTTCAACTGGACTGTGGAGGCTTGCGCCCGCGACGACACTGAGTGTTAGGAAGGGGCCCTGGGACACACAAATAAATAGACACAAAAAACAGGATTCTCCATCTGTTCTCATATTTTCTGGGTTTTCGTCTTCCCTCCCACTTCCCATATTTCCCCATATTTCCCTAGGGATCGACGATGAATTGTGTCTGTGTGTTTTTCCCCCTCCTGATTTTACCCTCTTGGGAGTTGCACCCGAGCCTAAGGGCCCCCCTCCTCCTTGGGGGAACACATTGGCCGCTTCAAATAAACACAGGAACAATGGAACCGACAAGCTTTGGTGTAAAGTCTTGCCCGTCGCAGCTCATCCGTCGTTAATGGCGGGAGGGGCCACCTCGCCACTCGCCGCCTCGTTCCGGAAGTCCGGGCCGGGGCCTGGCCCTCCCAAGTCTCCCGGAGGCCCTGGCCACCCTGGGACTTACACCCCAAGGTGCAATGTGTTACCAAAGCGTTCGACGGCTTCAAACATTGCACGAGTTTCAGAGAACGCCTCTTCAGGACAAAACTTCTGCCTCCTTTGCTACAATTTTGCGCGTCGGGGCACAGCGTCTGCGGCAGCCCCCGCAGGGAAAAACATCCGCGCGAGGACAGGGCAGCGCCCGTGCCTGAGCCTCGAAGCAGGGCGGGTACCGAATGGCCAAGCTGGAACAGCTCGACAACGCCATATGTACATTGCATGTCTGGGATGGAAGGCTCAAGTCCCCGTATGTTTGAGCTTGGTCAGTCATCGCGTGCACCGCCCCTCATTCTCGCGGAGTAATGCGAGTGTCATCCGCACGCCAAATGCGGTTTCGGCGCTTGCGCGCACGCGGCGAACTTGGCACCGCCGCGCAATTGCCGCGCCTGAAACGCTCGACGAAGCCGACGAAACTCGCACAGTTGGAATGCGTGGCACCATCATCATTATCATACTTGTCCGGCAAAGATCTCCACCCGCAGAATCGCGCAGACCACTCACACATGGCGGCAAGATGCGAGCTGTGAGACGGCAGGCGGGAAGAATCAGGGAACGCCCTTGTTTCCCCCGAGATCCAAAGTTGGCGCGTCGGGGGGACGACCGCGGCAAGGTGCCTGCCAGATCCCCCGCCAACAGTGACCATGGGGGGAGGGGGAAAAGGAGGTGGAACGAGTGCTCGCTACTTGTCTCCGACGCCTGCGGCTGTGCCGCCTGGCGCGACGCTCCCGCCCCTCGAACTGCCGTGCCAGTTGCCATGCAGGCGCGTTCGGGTTGCCACATTCGTCAATAGGGGAAAACACACCTACCTCGCTTTTGACCACGCTCGCTTCCAAGAGATACCAAACGATGCCAAATGGCAGCCTGTACTGGTCAGGCCGCTTGACGAGGAGGCGCGTGGTATGGCTTGGTTTTGCCTGGAAGCGAAAGCGGGTTAGGTAATTCACGCTCTGAGTCAAGCATGCCTGGTGCGCCAACTTGGCCAAGCGGCCCGTGCGTGCGATCCGCCGCGTGCGCCAGCTTCGGCAGTTCCGCCCAGCGCGCCAAGCGCGCGGGCGCCCCGATTCTCCTGCTCGGCAGCTTCGCCACTCCGAGCTTCGATCCAGGAGCGGTTCGTATGTACTGTCCGTCTGCCGTCGGGGTCCGCCTCTACCCCGGCCTGCCGCCACCCGTGGGAGCACACGTGTAGTGACGGGAATTGCCTGCCGCGGCTTGCACCTGCCCGCGAGCGGGCCATCAGGACTGCCTGCCGCGGCCGGCAGTCGCCCATGCATGGGCGCCGCTCGAGCCGGGCGAAAGAGGGGGACAGCAAAGGGGGGGTTTGAGAATCAGCTCACGTAGCTGATTTTCCCAGCGCCTCCCGGCGCCGGGAGGCGGGAATGGGCCCGGCGGCGGGGCCGAAACCAGCTGCACGCAGCAGATTTCGTACCCCCCCCTTTCCCAATCCCCTCCGTTCGTTCGGCCCAAGCCGCGGGCCGTCGGGATTGCCCGCCGTGGCCCGCAGCTGCCCGCGCGAGGGCGCGCAGCGAGGGACAGCCGGGATTGCCGGCCACGGCTTGCCGCTGCCCGCGCGACGGCTGGAGCCCCCCGGCAGCCCCCCCCCACGCGGCGACGCCTCGCGCATGCCTCGCAGTCGCCCGCCCTGTGCTGCTCCGGGTGCAGCCAGGTGCGCCCCGCGCTGTGTGTTCGTCCGCGCATCGCTCGTGGCACTCGTCTCGTCGGTTCTTGTTTCCGACGCGTTGCTCGCCTCGCTCGCCAGGGAAGAACATCAACGATTGAAAGCACTTCTTGCTTCCACGAGCGGTGCGAGCGACGCGTGAAACATGCGGTGTGAAGGGCCGAGCGATGCGCGAGAAACGCAATGGGATACGACATGCGCAGTAGCAGCGGCCCCACAAGCCTTGGCGCCCGAACGACGAAGCCTAGCCCCGACAGGCCCGCGCCCGCGCCCGCGAAGAGCACTCGGCGCACTCGGCGCACATGACAAAACGGGCAAATTCGAAACCCTCGGGATCGTCTGCGAGGGGGTGAGAGGCAAAAGCGGCGCGCAGTCATCCATGCGAGAGGGTGAAGGGACCGCGCGCGGACATGTGACATGCCATCGAACCGCGCTCATCGATCCATTGGCCGCTTCAAAAAACACGGGAACATGGAACCGACGAGCTCTGGCAAAGTCTTGCCCGTCGCAGCTCATCCGTCGCCAGCGGCGAGGGAGGACCACCTCGCCACTCGCCGCCTCGCTCCGGCGGTCCGGGCCCTGGCCCGGCCCTCCCAAGTCTCCCGGAGGCCCTGGCCACCCTGGGGCTTACACCCCAAGGTGCAATGTGTTACTAAAGTGTTCGGCGGCTTCAAACATTGCACGAGTTTCAGAGAACGCCTCTTCAGTACAAACTTCTGCCCCCTTTGCTGCAGTTTTGCGCGTCGGGGCTCAGCGTCTGCGGCAACCCCCGCCGAACAAAAAAACAATCCGCGCGAGGACAGGGCAGCGCCCGTGCCTGAGCCTCGAAGCAGGGCGGGGTACCGAACGGCGAAGCCGGAACAGCTCGGCAAAGCCACACACGTAAACATTGCATGCCTGGGATGTGAGGCTCCAGTCCCCGTATGTGCGAGCTCGGCCACGCCTGGCGGCAGGCGGCAGGCTCTCGGCCGCGCCGGAGGGGGGGGAGGACCTCAGGCCGCCCCTGCGGGGCGGCGTCGACCCGGGTGGCAGACTGGCTCGGCGCTCCTCCGCTGCCTCGGGGCTTCCGCCGCCGAACGCTCCGAGCGAGGGCTCCGGCACGCTGACCTCCGGCACGGCGGGCCGACGTGGGCCATCCGACCATTTGGATGCGGCTTTCCGACTCGGCGCAGGCTGCTCGGCACCGGCCGCCTCCGGGCCACTGGCTGCGTTCCACACTGCAAGCCCTTTTCGTCGACTGCCGCTCTCGCTCGCTGTCGTTGTCGCACGCTCGGCGGCGTGGTGACGAGCACACACTTGCAGCCAGACCCGTACCCTCCACCTGCCTCCCTTGATCACCATCCTCCTCATCCGCCATTTCCTCCTGCCGCTTCCTCCTCCTCCTCCTCCTCCTCCTCCTCCTCCTCCTCCTCCTCCTCCTCCTCCTCCTCCTCCTCCTCCTCCTCCTCCTCCTCCTCCTCCTCCTCCTCTCCCCTCATTCACATCCTCGTCATCATCCTGTTCATTCTCCTCCCCCCTCCCTCCCATCTCCCCTCCTCCTTCTCCTGATCCTCCTCCTCCTCCTCTTACCGCTCCCCCTTCACAGCGGGAGGCGGGGGGGGGGGCCTTGGCAGTCTCGTCCAGGTCCAGCGTGCCCGAATGGTCCCAATCGAATAAGTCGAAGGCTCCCTTGGCGCCCGCCCCCCCCGCCCCCTTGAACGGGCATCTCGGGCTCCCTCGCCCACCCCGCGGCGAGAAACCACCCCGACGACAAGCCGTTGGCCGTGTTCGGCCCAGGGGCCCGCCGGCGGGTCTTCACTTCCGAGCCCCCCCACAGGCAAAACCGAAACGGCTCGGCAGGAAGAGCTCGTCCCGGCAAGGGGCCCGGACCTCGGGGGGGGGGCACCCTTGAAAGAACGCAAGGCATGATGTCGGACGTCTGGGGCGCTGCCGCTCACGGCACGGGTAGGCAACGTGTGGTCCCTTCTCTCCTCCCCCCGACCGTCCAACTTCTCTGGCCCCTCTCCTCCTCTTTTCTCGTCTTACTCCGCCTCCTCCTCCTCCTCCTCCTCCTCCTCCTCCTCCTCCTACGCGTCTTCCTGCTCCTCCTCATCGTCATCATCATCAGCAGCATCATCATCAGCATAATCATCACCATACCAATCATCATCAGCATCAATACCATCGTCATCAGCATAATCATCAGCATCATCATCATCATCATCATCATCATCATCACCATCATCATCTTCATCATCATCATCAATATCATCCTCATCATCATCATCGTAATCCGCGTCCTTATCCTCATGTACATCATTACCATCATACGCGTCATCATGATCAGTATCATCAGCATCATCAGCACGATCAGTATCAACATTATCAGTATCACCAATACCATCTAACCAGTACCATCAACATCAACATCACTATCAACAGCAACAGCATCATCATCACCCACATAAGCAACATCAGCATCTGCATCATCTGCATCTGCATCTGCATCTGCATCATCATCATCATCGTCATCATCATCATCATCATCATCATCATCATCATCATCATCATCGTCATCATCATCATCATCATCACCAGCATGATCATCATCACCATCATCATCGTCATCAGCATCATAAGCAGCAGCAGCGGCAGCAGCAGCATCGGCATCAGCATCAGCATCATCATCATCATCATCATCATCATCATCATCATCATCATCATCATCATCATCATCGTCATCATCAGCATCAGCATCAACATCAACATCAACATCAACATCAACATCATTATCATCACCGTCGTCTCCCTGATCCTGCTCTTGTTCCAGCTGCTCGCTGTCCTGGATGTCTTACCGAATCAATACTTCTCCCATTTCCAGCCTACCGCCTCCATCATTCCTCCTCCCGCCTCTTCCTCATCCCGCAGGCCATCCCACGCCTCATCTCCATGGTCTTGCTCCGGCCGGCCTCCTCGCTCGAACCTCCTCTTCATCCGTTCTCGCTGCTCCTCCCTCCTCCTCCACTGCTTCTCCTCGCTTGTTATCCTGCTCGTCCTCTCTCCCCATCCGTCCCTCACAATCCGTCCCCGTCCTCGCGCATCCTCCCACTCCTCCTCCCTCCTCAGCCGTCCTCGGCGTGGCCGTCTGGACCGTCGACCGAGCGCTGGAGCAAGGGCGCCGGAGGGGGACGAGACGACCATATCTCCCCCCCTCCCGAAGGCGGAGGCGAGGAACGGAGCCGCTGTGCTGTTGCTTGTTGTTTCCGCCGCCTCCTCCGGGCACGGCGAGACGACCATCTCCTCCCCTCCTGGAGGCGGGCCCCCCCCCCCCCCCTGCCTGGAGGAGGATGGGCGAGGAGCGCAGCAAGTTTTTTTCTTTGTGTGTGTGTGGTTTTGTTGTCACTCCCTCCTCCTCCGAGGAGCGGAGGAGCGGCGGAAGAGCAGCCATCCCTGGTCTCCTCTCTGAGGTCCTCCTCCTCCGCTCTTGCGCGTCATCCTCACCCTCATCGTTCTGATCCTCCATGGTCGTAGCCATGCGAATCTGCCTTCTTGCCCTCGTCCGTCCATGTCATCCTCGCCCTCTTCGTTCCCGTCCTCCCTAATCACATCCATGCTCAATCCGTCCACCTCCTCCTCCTCCTCCTCCTCCTCCTCCTCCGCCTCCTCCTCCTCTCCATACCGCATGCCATGCATCCTTCGGCCCGTGTCATCACCACCTGATTGCCATCCGTCTCGCCTCTGCTCCTCGAGCATATCATCATTGTCCTCCTCATCGTCACCGCTCGCTCAGTGCGCCTCAACTCCAACGCCCCGGCACGATGCTGCTGTCCCCTCTTCCCGCTGATGGTGCCGATGCTGCTCCTGCTCGCCTCCCTTTTCTTTTTCTGCGGTTCCTCCGCCTCTGGGTCCGTCCTTTGACTGCTCTCCGCCCTTGTCTTCACCACCAGGAGGAGGAGGAGAAGGAGGAGGAGGAGGAGGATCATCTAGCTTCCCGCCAGCGTAGATGTTAATAAGGTTTCTCCTGACTCCTCCTTCTCCGTCTCCGCCCGCGCATCGTCCTCCGTCGTCCTGCTTGTCCCCCTCCTCATTCGCCTACTCTTCCCGAGGCCTCACCCTTACAATCATATACACCGCGCCTGCTGTGTTCTCATCCTCCTCCTCAACTGCCTCCTGCACGTCTTCTGCCCGATCGTCAGCTTCCTGCTCATTTTCCTACAACTCCTGCGCACTCATGTTTTCCTGGCCCACGTTTTGCCTTCGCCGTCCTCCTCCCCCGAAATTTACCCTCCCCCCCCCCGCCCGGTCGTGGACCCACTCGCTCCTGCTCACTGCGCCTCACGAGTCCTCCTGACCCTGCTGCTCCTCATGCGGTTGTTCCTGCTGTTGCTCGTCATGTTTTTTCTGTTCCTCATCCTACTCCTCATGCTTCGACTCCTGCTCCTCCTCCGACACATCCCCATTATGCCTTGCTTGCTTTCGTCATCCACCGCTTCGCTATCCTCCTTCTCCTGCCCAGTCTTTGCCTTTCACAACACCAAATCCCCACTTCTTTATGCTTCGCATTCAGTAGGGTCAGGAGGAGACGAGCGTACCCTTAGTAGGGGCAGGAGGAGGAGGAGGAGGAGGAGGAGGAGGAGGAGGAGGAGGACGAGCAGCAGCAGAAGGAGCGAGCTGGGAGGAGGGAGTCTTGCAGCATTTGCTCAACACCTGCGGCGAAGGGATGTCCTTCTGGTCCACCTCATGAGGAGGGAACCACATCTACTAAAGAACGTCGACGCTGGATAATACATACATTCTTCGCCGTAAGAGCATTGTCGCGCCAATGTCTGCGCCCACTGCCCAGTATACACGTGTCCTTGCTGTCGACACTACTTAGCGACATCAGAAGCGGTCCAGGCATTTGCATATGCGCCAGAAAAGCGTTGCAGGCTCCACCCGAGGGCGCAGATGATCAGGCGAGGTGGCCCGACGCGGGAATGGTGAAGTCAATGCCAAGCGAAGATCGCGAGAACCTCGCCGAGGGCATGTCCCAATGGTGACGGGTGGCACCAAATTGCCTCCCGTGGAGTCTCTTGCCACACGCCTCGTGGTGTAGCCGATCGGTGGCAGCGGTCACTTTTTACCAGCTCGAGAAGGCCGCCCCGTGGCTGAAGGAAGAAGAAGGCAGCAGCAGGGGAGGGGAGGAGAGGGAACAGAAGGCAGCAGCAAAAACCGATCGGTGGCAGCGGTCACATGTGTCACACATACGCGGCCTCACGCTGCATGCCTGCCCCCTGAATGTGCCCATGCTTCACGCCGCTCCACCCATTCGCCGCGCTTCACCACAGAGATCGCCCCTGCCTCGCGCTGGCCCCCTCTGCTTCCGCTGCCATCCCGCACCCTCCCCATTGCACAACTCGGTCCTGCACTGCCGTCAATCCCACTACTCTGGAGACTGGGAGGCCCGACGCGCGGCAACAGCACGCGCGTTACGCCGCAGCCCTGGCAGATTGCAAGGGGAGCCTCCAGCGGAGCTTCTAGCGATGTGTTCGACGGACTCTTGCAGCAAACAAAACCTCTGGGCCGATCTTCCATTCAACTTCTACCTCAGGTAGGATCTGACTGAAGGGTCTTCCTTGTTCTTGACAGAAACTGGTGGGTGTGGGGCCCTTCGTCAGATGGGGGCCCCCGGTGTTGCCCGAGGCTCATCGGGGTCCCGCGGGGCTCCTCGAGATTGACCAGGGTTGCCTGGGGTTTTCCGAGCGGCCCTTGACGTTGCTCGGGGCTGCCAGGGGGTGCTGCCCCTGCCATGCCAATGCCGAGCAATGCCAAGCAACGCCAAGCGATTCCAAGCAATGCCAAGCAGGGCCAAGCAAAGCAAAGCAGCGCCGTCTATGCTAAGCGATGCTGAGCATGGCTATGCAACGCCAAGCAATGCCAAGCGACTCCAAGCAACGCCAATCAATTCCAAGCAGCGCCACGCAACGCCAAGCAAGGTCGAGTTGAATTGCTTTGGAAGACCCCAACTTGGGTTCGCGCTGAATTCATTACTTGTTTTGGGGGGTGGCTCGTGTCGCCCTTTGGATGGCCGCCTCGGGCATCGGCTACCCCGCGCTGCAGACCGCCTCGGCGTGCCAGGCAGCCGCGGGACTCATCGCAAGCGCTTCCGCGGAGGAGTCCTCAGCCGACGTGCGTATCGCCGCGGCCAGGGTTGGCGATGGTGACAGATCCTGACCGAGGGTTCTGCTACACGAGAGAGCGACACTGGGCAAGAGTAGCCTTTGGTGCGCGGCTTTTTGAAGGTCGCGGGATGGCCGAACACGAGCACGAAAGATGCCACGGCCGCCTCGCGTTCGGCGATCGGGGAACCCCAGTGGGCCCGCACCACAGGTCACTCTGGCGAATGGGGCCACTCTTGGGTGCAGGTAGTCGAAGCATGCCCTGCAGCAGCAATTGCCAAACTCCTGCCCATCGGCCGGGCACTGGGCTCGATCTGACAAGCCCAGAGAGAAACAAAATCATGATGACAAGCCCACCGACCGACCAGCTGCCCCTCTGCCCTGCCCCGGCCCCCTTCAGGCCATCAGGCGATTGTACTCGACCCTGCTGAAGCCCTCGCGCGACTCGATGATCATCCAGAACTGCCACCCGGGAGCGGCCCTCTCTTCGAGGCCGGCATCGATGCACATGCACCGCCCTCCCAGGGACCCCACGGGAGCTGTGGAAATGGCTAGCCTTCGGGCCCCTGGGGGCCTGGATCTATCCACGTCCGCCGCCGTCCGAGGCCCGGGAAGATCGCACCCATCAGGCGGCGCATGTGAACAAAGGCGAGCCCCGCACTCTTCCCAAGCGACAAAGTCGGGTCGGGCGAAAGGGCAGGATAGCAAAGGGGGGGGTTGAGAATCAGCTCACGCAGCTGATTTTCCCGGCGCCTCCCGGCGCCGGAGGCGGCCATGTATCGAGGAATGGGCCCCGCGGTGGGGCCGAAACCAGCTGCATGCAGCAGATTTCGTAACCCCCCCTTTCCGTATCCCCTCCTTTCGTCCGGCCCGAACCAGGCCGAGCAGCACGGCAAGCCAGAGGAACGGGAGATCCGTACGCCCAAGTGTGATCTGCCAAGGCCGAGCCACCCCGCGTTCATGATCAGCGGCGCGCCCCAGGGGGAAGTGAGACGGGGCGGGCCTTCTCAGACAGCTCGGGAGGCCCCCTGAGAAATTCTCCAATCTTTCCCCGAAGACTTCGGACACCTCTCGGAAGGCCGGAGGGCTTCTGAGAAGCCCCGCCGCCCTCTGAGAAGGCCTCTTCCTTCTCAACTTCCCCCCTCGCTCGCTGCAAACATGACGGCCGGGGGGGACCTCCTCCTCATCCTCCTCCTCGTCCTCCTCTCCCTCCTCCTCCTCCTCCTCCTCCTCCTCCTCCTCCTCCTCCTCCTCCTCCTCCTCCTCCTCCCCTCCTCCTCCTCCTCCCTCCCTCCCTCCCTCCCTCCCTCCCTCCCTCCCCTCCCTCCCTCCTCCCTCCTCCTCTCTCCTCCTCCTCCTCCTCCTCCTCCTCCTCCTCCTCCTCCTCCTCCTCCCCCCTCCTCCCTCCTCCTTCCTGGACGCTTGTGCAACGACGACTCCCTTCAACGGCGACTTCCCTCCAGAGGCCGACGCGCCCTGCGCGACAGACACTACGAGGGGCCGCTGCCAAACGACAGGGCAAGCATCCGCCCGCCGCGCCCCTCGATGGAGCACAGGGCCACTGGAAGGGCAGCGCTGCTGGACACCGTGGGCAAACCCTGCCCTCGGTCCCAGATCGGCTTCGACTCCGCCCCCTCCCACTCTGGCACCACAACATCACGGGGCTCCAGGCCTCCCCCGACCTAGAGCAGCAGTCCTGACTGCAGAGATCCAGCCCAACACCCAAACGGCGTCGATGTACGATGTATGTTGTCCCCGGGCAGTGGCGAACGTCTCTCTGAATCGCGCCTTGTTGAGAATTCCACGCGCGGGCCGCCATGGACATCCTTCGCCGAGACACCTCAGATGTGCACGCGCAGGAGGGGTAGTTTCTCACTCTTCGTTTTAGCCCTCTGGATTCTTCTGTGGAACGCAACAATCTTCCCTCCTTACACAGGGAGTGGGTGCCGGACCCCCTCGAGAGGGGGCATCTCTACTGCTCCTCACGTGGTGCCTTCGTCATGCTTCCTTCCTTCCTGGCATCGACGAGCAGAATCCCCCCAGAGGGATCGTCAGCACCAAAACTGACATCAATAAGTTTGCTCGGCGTCCCCCCTTCGGTGCGATCGTCAGCACAGCGCATTAACAGAAAACATATAGTCGTGTTCGCCGCTCGCCGATGGGAAAAGCCGTCGAGAGGCCTCAAGTAAAAGAAACCTCGGAAGGCAGCGAGAATACCAACGGGGAACCCATTTGGAGTTGCCTCCGGCCTCCAGGGAACTCCAGAGACCTCCGGGGACCTCGTGGAGGAATGAGAGAAAGGAGGAGGACTCTGCGGGGGAGATCGCCTCCGCTCCGGTCCTGGCGCCAGATGCGTTGTCATTTCCTATGACAATCTCCTATGATGCGGGAGGCGGGGTTTTACTGCTTGCTTCCTGCGTCTGATAGGGTTGCGGCTCTCCTGCTGCAGCCATCCTGTTGCGGCTTATGTTGCTCCCATCGTACTTACGTCAGGAGGGAACAAAAACACACAGACACAATTAATCGTCGACCCCCAGGAAAATATGGGAAAGTATAGGAATTGGGCGGGAAGAAAAACCCAGAAAATATGTGAAAATATGGGGAATCCTTTTGTTTGTGTGTGTTTATTTGGGTGTCCTTTGGCCCCTTGATTAAGTACCACATCCCATAAGTTCGAGCACCCGGAAAAGTGCTGAAAGAGCGTCGAAACAGTGTCGACACAGTGTCGGACGAGTGTCTCCCACGGCCCGACGCGTGAAAACCCTCGAGTTTGGATACTTGTCTGGTGCTCGAAATTCTTTCTGGTAGTCCAGGCTAAGGTAGGTTGGAACATCATAAGTTCGGCAATGTTTCTTCGGCGGTGGACAAACCTCCCTTTAGTCAACCTCCCTTTTAACGAAAACGGCCTGAGACCGAAACCGACTGACCTGGACCCGCGCAAATGACGCCCTCTCGCGAACCGAAAACGGCCAACTTCTGAATCGACGCGTCAGGGTCGGAGGTCTATCAACCTCCGAGTTCTGCCTGCGCCCCCCGCCTGCCGGCGCGCCCCCATCGCGCGAGCAGAGGGCACCCGCCGGGGGCACTCTCCGCAGTGGGGGGGCGCCCGGCCGCGGGCTGCTGCTGCCAGCTCCACGCCCCGATGGCGAGGTGGGTCTGCAGCACGGCCAGCCGCCCGGCGACGTGCACCCCCCGCGGCAGGGCCCCTCCCCAGAGATCCAACGCATTGCAAACATCGAGACGGAGTTGTTTTCTAAATTTTCTGCCTCTAGGGGCCCTCGCTGGGCCCTGGGACCGTCAAACAACGACTCAGGATGAAAAGCTGGTCCTGGGGAGTGGGTCGAGACTTCGGGGGGCCGCGCATGGAAAAGATCACGACGTCGGATCTCTGGGTCGCTGTCTTCGTGCTGCCGTCGCTCAGCAGAGGCACCGAAGAGGGTGCGCCCATCGGGAGGGGCGAGCCGTCCGCTCGCCGCATCTTCGCCGGCAGCCCCCCGCGGCCCGCGAAAGGCCACAGGGCGGAACGGGGAGCAGACGCAACTGGCCGAGGGAGCAGCAGCAAAACTTCCGAACGCAACTGGTGGGTCGGGGGACCTGGATCCAGGCCGCCCCGTAAACGCGGCCGTTTACATGAACCGATATTTTCAGAGGCCTTCCCAAAGGAGTCCGAGCAGATGGGGTCGGAGAATCGCGCCGCGTCGCCCCTGCATCGGTGATGCAGCGATGCACCGGCCACGTCGACGGTGCATCGGCGACGCCGGTCTGGAACACATCGGGCCGCACATCGAGCCGCATCGGCGATGCTTCGCCGACGAGGCGCGGCCCGCCGCCGTCTGCTCTGACCCCGTCTGGGACGCCCAGCACTTTGGAGCGCCCGAGCGAACTGCAGCCGTGGGCCGAGTCGTTCTCCGTCCACCGCCCTGCTGTCCGGCGGCGCCCGGCGGGGCCCCATGCCTGCCTGCCGCCTCCTGGCTGCTGGGGCCCCGGCTGCCCGCCTGCCGCGACCCGCCGGCCCTCTTCGGGCGGGTAGTGGTGGGGGCGACCTCGACGGGGGGTGAGGGCAACTGGCCCTCCAGGAGCCCTTTAATTTAGGGCCCCTGCATGCCCCAAAAGGGACCCTACAGGGCCCCTGTGGGGCCCCTTTCTCCACCCCCGATCTAGGTTACCCCCCTTCACCACCCGCCCGACATCTGGCATCCCGCCCGTGCGTTCGTCGTCGTGCCCTCGCTTCTCGCGTCGCCCGTGCGCCATCTCCGCCGCCTGGGGGGAAGCCCGCGGCTCGCGGGGGTGGTGGTAGCCCTCGGAGGCCCGTTCCGAGCGAGACCTGCCACGACCTGTGAATGGAGAGAGAGGGGAGAGGCTTGGCTCTGCCGCCGTCCGCCCTCTCCTCCGCAGCTTCCAATATGATTGCCTCTGTGCGCGTTTGATCCTGGGCCCTTCGGCTCCGTCACCACACCTCAAGCGAAACCCCAAAACGCAGCCCTCAGTTGAAAGCCTGCGCGCTGCCTTCAGATGGCCACTGAAATCCTCAGAGTGGACCAGTGCGTGTGGAGGGGGACGTGGAACCGGGCCTGCGTTAATCGAGTTCGACACGAAGGATGTGTATGAACCTGCGGATGCGCGACCGCACTTCCAAGCGATCTCTGAACTGCGTCGCGTGGGTGTCCCACTTGGCATCGCCTACAGTTGCCTACCCGTGGCCGCAGCTCGATGCATCGCGTCAGCAGCGCCTTGCCTTCTATTTCTTATACGCTAAAAAATCCTCGGAGCGACCTAGGGGGACGGGGGGGGCGTGCAACTAATTAATCCGGCGCGCCCGGGCGCGCCGCGAACCGCCGCCGCAGCGCCTCGCGCCACGCGGCGCCCGCGCCGCCCGCCCGGGCCGGCGGCGCCAGCAGCGGGGCAGCGGCGCGCGGCGGCAACGCCGGGGCCCAGCCGCCAGAAGGCCTTCCCGCCAGCCGCTGCCAGGTCAGCGCCCAAAAGCCGCAGCGCAGGCAGGCCACCCAGGACGACCCCTGTGACGCCACGCGGGCCCGCCACGCAACGCTGGCGAAGAGGGCGCTGGCGGCGGCTGCCCCCGCCGCCGCCGCGGGGTGCCGGGCGGGCTGCGGAATCAACGCTCTGGCGGCCGCTGCGGCCGCCGCCGTCGCGTCGTCGCCCTCGCGGGGCGCGCGCCGCCTGCGCCCTGGGGCCGCCCAGCGCCGGCGCGCGCGGGGCCAGCGGGCGCCCTCGCTGTGGTTCGCGAGCGCGTCCAGCACCAGCGCGCGCTCCAGGAGCAACGCGCGAGTCGGCAAGCGGGCCCCCGCGGCGTGGCTGGCCAGGCCACCCGCGGCAGCGTTGCCGGCATGGTCCTCCAGGGAGACCCCCCGCTCGCGGGCCGCTGCAACGTCCAAGTTCTACGTGCGCCTTCGCCCGCCGCGCGCGCAGGGCGCCGCTGCGGCAGTGCGGGGCAACGCATTCCCACAGATCCGCGCGCGCCCTCAGCGCAAGGTTGGCCCCGTCGCGGATGGCCGCCACGCCGCGGCCGAGGAAGCGGGTGTCGGCGACGACGTCACCCGGCCCCCCAGCCAGGCTCAGCGCGCGCGCCGCCGCGGTGACTTCCGCCCTCTGGGCTGTCTGCTCGCCGTCCACCGGTCCACTGTGCTCGACGATGCCCGTCGCGCCCGCCACCTCCAGCCAGATTCCCCAGCCTGCTCTTGCAAGCAGCGGGTCGCCGGGGCACGCGCGGGCTCCGTCCGCCCAAGCGCGCGCCCTGTGCCGGCCGGCAGACTCTGCGGGTCAAGCTGAATTGGCAGCGGCAACGGCAGCTGGGCCTGCTCCGCGAGCGCCGCCAGCCGCGGATCCTGAGGCAGCGCAGCGCCCCCTCGAGGGAGGTCTCCGGCGGTAGCCTCGCGCGGACCTCGTCGCGGCGCCCGCTCGCGAGTCCCAGGGCGGCGGCCCAGGTGGATTCCCAGCGCGGGCGCTGCCGCAAACTCCAGATCCTCCGGCGCCGCGCGGTATGGGGGCACAGCGCCGGCTGGCCCCACTTCGCCGCGGCCGCCGTCTCGGCCACCACGTTTCCAGAGATCACGGCGCGGAGCGCTCCTGCCGCATCGGGCGCGAGCGCGCCGTTGACCAGCAGCCGCAGCGTGGACGTGCTGGAAGGCCGCGCGCCTCGCTGCCACGAACGCGCTTCGCGTTTGGACCCCGCTTCGAGCAGCACCGCGCGGGTGTCGAGCAAACTCCGGTCGGCGGGGCGCCAGCTCGCGGGGGCGGCGCCCAAGCCGGCCCAGCTCGACGACCGCGCCAACGTGCAGGCGCAGCTCCGCCACGCTCTGGAGGGCGGCAGAGATTGGCCCGAACCCGCGCCCGTGGCCCACGCCGAGGGCCGCCGCGGCGCCCCGCCGCGCCTGCACGGGGAGACGGCGGGATCGGAGCGCCTTGGCGGCCTGCCAAAGCGGCGCCATGACAGCCACTGCCGCCGTGCCCAGCCGCCAGCTCGGCGCTAGCACTTCGAAGACGACCTCGGCGGTCGCACGCGCGCCACCGCGGCGCACCGCTTGCTGCGCCGCCGCGCGAAGACCGGCCAACTCCCGCGCCGGGGGCCGGCCGCGCGCCGCGCCGCAAAGGCCGGCCGCCGCCCCTGCGGCAGCGCCCAGTCTGCACCGCGCGTCGAAGCCGACCGGCAGCTTGCCCAGCCCGCCAATGCGGCCACGCGCGACGCGCAGCCACGCGCGACGCGCAGCTGGGCCGCCGCGACAGCGCAAACTGGCGCGAGTTCGCCCGGTTCAACTTCTAATCTATGGCCGCCTTGAAGGCCTCCGCGACCTGCAGCGCCCGCCGCTGCGTCGCCGCCGGCCTCGGCCGCGACCCGGGCCCAGAGCGTGAACTCGTCGACGTGCGCCCCGCGGCGGAGGCGGTCGCTGACGCGCCCCGCGTGCATCGTCCATGGCCGCGCCATGACTCCGAGCGCGAACGCCGCCAGGGGGCAGCCCGGGAGAAGGCCGCGCTTGGGCGACCAGGGCGAGCCGATAGCCCTGCCGACTTGCACCCGGCGGCTCGCCGAATAGCCGGCCCCGCGACCCAGCGCGGGGCCCCTGCCCGAGCGAGCGCGACCGGCGCCGTGCCAGGTCCACCCGGTCGCAGAGCAGCGCCCACCATCTCTTCGGAGAAGGCGTCGGCCGCCTCCAGCTCCAGGTGCCCTCCGCGCCGCGCCGCTACTCGTCGCCCCCCCCGCCGGCGCCGCCACAGGGCAAAGAGGCGCGCCCAGCCAGTCCAGAGCCTGTGTAGGACGGGCAACAACCAGACTGCGCGGGGCCATTCGCCGCCACCCGGCTTAGGCAGCAGGAGGCCCTCTGACTCAGCGATCTCCAGGGGCCGCGTGCCCTGAGCCCCCACCTCCTCGCAGAGGCCTGCGATCCACTGGCGCAGCTCTACCGGCACCGACCGGAGCTCCATGACCGACCACGCGTCAAACCGTGTCTTCTTACGCTCGGGCATGCGCCGCACGGTGAAAGCGAACCGATGGACTCAGCCGTCCACGGCGCCCGCTGGGGGAAGGCCGGCAGCCCGCCCCGCTCCTGCAAACGCTCCTCGGCGACCGGCGGGCCTGGCGCGCGCTGCCAGAGCTACCTCCGCGGGCCCTCGCATAGAAGCGCAGCCGCGCCGCGGGGCAGCCTTGCAAGGCCAACGGCCGCTGCCGGCGACCTGGGGCGCGGGCGCCAGCCCTGGCATCAAGCTCGGCATCAAGGCCGCCGCCGCGGCGACTCCAGCGGTGCAGCCTGCCCCCGCCGTTCGCGAGTGACTCCTCCACCCAGCGTCGCCACTCCGTCTGCCGCCTCCCGCGCGCCACAGCACTCGCGACCTGCCACGCCGCGCGCGCCAAAAAGAGCGGCTGGGAGGCCCGCAACGCCCGCAAGGTCGCATCAGCCATCTGTCTCGCGGCGTCCTCGTGGCGCCGCTGAGCGCGCTGCAAGCCTCTGGGGCGCCAGACGCGCAGCAAAGCTGCGTCGGCAGCGGCGTCGGCAGCCTCCCCGCCGCTCCCGGCCGCGGGGGGCCGCCTCGCATGGCCGCTGCAGCGTGCGGCCGCTCTGGGACGGCCGCGCTGCCCAGGCGCGTCGCCAGCCACATGCGCGCGGCCGCCTCCAGCTGCCGCCGCGCCCCGTCGAGGTCATGATGCTGCAATGCTGCGCGGAAGGCCCCTGCGTGGTGCGCCCGCGCGAGGGCCGTGGCGCCCCACGCCGCCTGCGCTGACCAGCCCCCCTACCGCGGGGCCGCCCAGGACCGGCGCGCGCTCGCGGAGCAGCGCCGGCTCGGGATGCGTCGCGACGCGCAAGTCCACCACGAGGGCTGCGTGCGCGACCAGGCCGAGGTCCCATCGGAGCCGCACCGACGGGACAGCGTCAATAGCGGCAGGGCTGGCGAGCACGTTCGATGCGGGATGGGGCGGCGTGGGAAGGCAAACAAGTGGGCCCTGCTGCCGCCAAGAGGTACTTCCATTAGCCCATCGAGCCCAAGTGGAAGTCGCCCACTAGGAAGGCCGGGACGTCACCCGGACCGCGTCCAACAGGAGGTTGGCGCTCCGCTCCTCGTCCTTACGGCCTAACGGATAGCCGTAACAGCTCTCGCACCCCAGTGCAGGGTGAGGTGCTGCAGGCGCCCCAAGTGCCTCCCCGAGGCCCGCCGCACGCGCCAATCAGCGCCCCCGGCGGCATGCAGCTGCGAGCAGGTGCACCCCCTCGTGCATCGGGCCGAGGTGCAAGTGAATGCCACGCGCCGAGGCCCCCGCCTCGGCAGCTGGCGCATCCAATGCTGGGATCCGAGCCTCCTGCACGCACCACGCGTCGGCCTCGGCGGCCAGCAGGCCCTGGCGCTCCACCGCGTAACGTTCGCAACCGCCACCGTGGCTTTCTATGGCATCGCAGGCTTGGGGTGGGAGGCCTCGCTGAGGCGGACGCTCGGCGCGGCCATCCGCTCCAGCGCCGATGAGGCTCGCGGATGGGTTCCGCGGCCCTCTGGGCGCGAGCTGCCGCCGCGGCCCTGGCGGGGGGCACGCCAGGCATGTCTTGGCGGCGGGTCCTCCTCCCCTCCCCGCACTGCTGGCCGTTCGGCCAGTGGGAGGCCGGCGCCGAGGCCGGATCCGAGGTCGCCGACGGCGGGGCTTCACGGCACTCCCAGCGCCTGCTGCCGCCGCGGCCCTGCAGCGGGAGGCGCGACAGTCATGTCTGGGCGACGGGTCCTCCTCCCCTCCCCGTGCTTCCGGCCGCTCAGCCGGTGGGAGGCCCGCGCCGAGGCCGGATCCGAGGTCGCCGGCGGCTCCTGGCGGGGCCCCGCGGCCCTCCCAGCGCCACCTGCCGTCACAGCCCCGTCGGGAGGCGCGCCAGGCGCCTCTGGGCAGCGCGCCGGCCCCAGCACCAACTGACGCACGCTGGCTAAACAGCTGGCCCAGCCGCTCCAGCAGCCGTGAACGGAGGAGCCCTCGGCCACCCCGTACGGGTCCAGGGAGCGCAGCGGCAGCGCTGCCCCCGCATCGGCTCCGGCGGGCAGCGGGCGGCCGCCGCTGCGCCGAACCGCCGCCGCTGCGCCGAACCGCCGCCGCTGCGAGGGGGCACCATCAGGCACGGGTCGCCGCCGCTGCGAGGCGGCCTCCGCTGCGAGGGGGCACCTGCCGCGCCAGCAAGGCGCAGCGGCAAGGTCTGTTGCCCTGGAAGGAAGGGCCCGGCTACCGCGAACAGTGGTTCGCGATCCCGGGAGCGAGACCGCCCGTCGGCCCCCTTCCCTCCTTGTCCTCCTCCTCTGCGGGGCGGGCTGGGGAGGTCCACCGCCGCCAGAGCCGCCGCCCAAAGCGCGGGTCGCGCAGGAGCGGCCCCCGCGGCTGCGCCATCGGTTTCGGGCGTCGCGGAGTCGACGGCGGCGCCCGGGCCCGCCGCCGCACCATCGGCAGCTGCAGGGCCCACGGGCCAGGTGCCGGCAGCACGGCCCGCAGCTGCTGCACGAGGCCGTCGGCGGCGGCGGCCGCGAATGCGCCATCGAGCCCTGCGACGCCAGCGACGGCGGCCGGGCGCCGCGCCGCTGCGCCTGCAGCTGCCGCCTCCGCCTGCACCGCGGCCAGCGCCTGCTCCGCGGCCTGCGCCTCGGCGATGGCCTGGGCAGCGCGGGCGTCCGCGGCCTCGGCGGCTCGCTGGGCCCCCAGGCCTCCTCGGCCGCGGTCCGAGCCGCCGCCATCGGCTTCCTGGGCGCACCGTGCCGCTTCGGCGCGGCTCCGCCGCGAGCCCAGGGCGGACTGCAGGCGGCGCTCGAGAGGGCGGGCGGCGCGCTCCGCCTCCTGCAGCTCGGCCGCCGCGGCCTCGAGCCGTGCCACCTCATGCGCCCATTCGAGAAAAGGGGCCAAAGGCGGCGATGCGAGCCTTGGGCGGCGGCAGCCGCTGGCTGCGGCGGCAGGGCATCGGCCGCGGCTGCCTGCGGCGCCTGAGGCTGCGGCGGCTGCCCTGCCTCCGCCGCGGGCGCCGGCCGCGGGGGCCTCGCCCACCGCCGGCGCCCTCCCGTGCGCACCCGCACCAAAGGCTCTGCCCGCGGAGCCTGCCCGCCGCACCCGCGGCAGGTGCGGTTCGCCAGCCGAAATTGTCGGCCGCCCCGCATGCACAGCTCCAGGCCGGCTTGCGAGCCCCCCAGGCTCGCCAGCCGCACCACCGCGCTGCCCAGCCGGCTACCGCGCCTGCGACCGCGAGTGCCGCCCCGCTCCAGCAGGCCGAATCGCCTGCTTGCACACCTCCGCCAGCTGCTTCACCTGCCGCTGGATGGCGCTCCATGGCGGTCGGGCGTGACCCCTATACTCCCGCCGCCACAGCCGCCCGGCATCCGGCAGTGGCCGCGCGCGCGGGTTGCCCTGCGCGCGCGGCCCGAACGATGGGCCCGGCTTCGCCGCCCCAGCGACGTGCTGGAACCAAAACGGCTCGAGCCAACATGATGCGGAGCCAAAACGGTTTGAGCCAACATGGCTACGGAGCGCCCTGCCTTTCGCACCCCGCCTCGTCAAACTCGTCGACGTCGATGAATCCGTTTCTGTCCTGGGCGGGGGAGGAGCAGCAAACAGAGGGCAGGGCAAACATCCAGATGCTGGCGAGGCCTTCAACGAAAGGAGAGTGTTGACTTCCTCCTCCTGCTCCTCCTCCACCTCCTCCTCCCATCTCCCCTCCGCATCCTGCTCCCAGTCCCTCATATTCTCCATCTGATTCATGTGGTGCCTCCCCCTCTCCCCTTCACCTCTAAGCATCATTTTCCTCCTTCCCCTCCTCCCTGCTCCCTCCCAACTCCCCCCTCCACCCCCAACACAGGCCCATCCCAATATCCTCCCCTACCTCTTCCCCCGCTCCACCCATCACCCCATCCCCTCCCCATGCCGCCCTCTCATGCCTTCCACGCCGTGCCCCTCCCTCCCACCGCCCACTTCCTCCTCCCCTCAAGGCCATGCTTTCCACACCTCCCCCTCCTCCCCCCGACGATGATCCCAACGTCCGCAGAGAAAACGGGCGGGAAGGGGCGAAAAAGGGCAACGGAAACTCGTCACCTCATCCTGCCCGTTCTTCTCCTCCTCCATGCTCCTCTTCCTCCTTCTCCTCCTCCTCCTCCTCCTCCTTTCTCTCTCTCTCTCTCTCTCTCTTTTCTCCCCATGGTCACTCGATACCTTGTCCTAGCTCTTGCATGTGGACCCGCCACCGTGCCGCTTGGCATGCCGAGGCGTGGTAGAGAGCTTATCGCCCCTGGTCACTCGATACCTTGTCCTAGCTCTTGCATGTGGACCCGCCACCGTGCCGCTTGGCATGCCGAGGCGTGGTAGAGTGCTTATCGCCGTCTGCCGCCCCCTCCCCCCGCCCCCCGTCGCCTGAGGTTCCCAGAGCGGTTCGACGTGCCTCCAGGGCTCGCCAAGGAGTTACATGGCTTCCAAGACGCCACAGGAAGGCCACCAAGGCCGCCAACGATGATTCAGAAGCGGCGCCAGAAGGAGCCCAAGAGGCATTCAAACCCCCACAGGGAAGGCAAGGCAGCTGTCCAAGAAAGCTAGGACAACTCGGAACAATGAGGTGTTTATCAGGTGTGTAAGCAATGAGGGTTTCCATGGCCTTAGGGATCACGATGATTCCAACAGAGCCCAGGAGGGACCGAAGAGAAGCCCAAACGAGCCTAATATGGGGCACAAGGAACACCCCAGACGGCCCAGGAAAGTACCAAGAGGCTCACGAGACGGTCCAACAGGAGCCCTGGAGAGCCCGAGAGGCTCTCCAACATGGCCCACATACACCTCTAAGGCAGCCCCAAGAGGCTCCCCGCACGGCCGAAAGGGGCCAGACTGCCCAAGGCGGCACCAAGACGGCCCAAGAGGGCCCAAGAGGGACCCGAGACGGCCAAAAAGAACCTCAAGGGAGCACCACGAGCGCCCAAAGAGGCCCCAAGAGAGACCCTGAAAATGAGAGACGAGATGTACCACACGTCACGGCCTTCCGTGTGGGCGGAACTTGCCGCAGTCAGCTGGATGAATGCCTCCCTGGTTGCACCAAGAAGCATGAGGCCCAGGCCGCCTCGCTAGCACGGCCCCGCTCTAGGCTGGAACGGCCCAGAGCGCCCCCGCTCTAGGCTAGAACGGCCCTCCTCCTCCTCCTCCTCCTCCTCCTCCTCCTCTTCTTCTTCTTCCTCCTCCTCCTCCTCCTCCTCCTCCTCCTCCTCCTGCTCCTCCTCCTCCTCCTCCTCCTCGTCGTCCTCCTCCTCCTTGTCCTCCTCCTCCTCCTCCTCCTCCTCCTCCTCCTCCTCCTCCTCCTCCTCACCCATCAGGGGGAGGCGGAAACGCCTGGAGCACCCGGGACCCTCGGTTCGAGGATCTCACACCCCGCCGACCTGGTCTGAGCTCGGAGCCGGCCGAACCGCGGCCCTAGCGGGCCTGGTTCTTCCCAGGAGGCCCTGGGGCCCGACCCGACCCGAAGAGACAGGATGGAGGGGGGGGGCTCGGCATGAGTGAGCCTAACTACAAACTTTCGATACTCTCCCGGGATCTTCCGGAAGCGCCGGCCAACCCCGCACGGCACCCACGAGGGGGTAGCCAGACTAGGGCCGGAGATTTCCCCAACGCCGCCTTCGGCCCGCTCGCTGCCGAGGACCCCCCAACGCCGCACCTCCCAGATTTCTCCGCGGACGGAAGGACCCTTGCCATTGGCTTCCCAGCCGCGGCACATGGGAATCGTCAGAGAAAGACCCCCCGAAAGGACAGATGGGCGCAACGCTACGCGGTTGCATCGCCGCCCTGCGTCGCGGACCTCCAAACAGTCGAGCCTTGTCACGCACGGGGCGCAACGTTCCCTGTGGAACGCGCAGATACACCCTAGCCGCGAGCACTGTCTGAGGAACGCCGCCAGCAAGTCGCACTTGTTTCTTCTTTCATTTTTTGAAATTGCGCCCTGCTATTAGGCTCACATTGTTGCCTGTCCGCGGGACTTGCGGTTCTGCGCGTTCGCTGCGCTGCGTTTTTGCATTTGGTGTGCTGCCCTGCGCTGCTGAGCTGGCACGGCTGGCGGGACTCCCGCAGGCATCTGGGCACGCACTCCGAAGCTCATCATAGAAAGGGGTAGTCTGAACAAAATGACCGCCCCCCTCCATCATGCCATCCGGAACGCCCACGTTTTCCTCGCTCTTTCTGTCGGGGCGGTCACGCCCGGCACTGCCACAACCTATGGAAATCGAGCGCGGTCACATCGGGCTCCACAGCCTCCACTTCGCCCTGCACCCCGAGCTCCACGTTCGACGGCACTGCCGGGTCTTCGAGACCCGCCCACGACAGAACGTCTGCTGGATTGTCACTTGTGTCGACGTGATCGTGCCAAACAGTGGCGCCGAGGCCGCCCAAGGCGGCGTTGGCGACCACCGCCAGGAAGCACATTGTCTCCGCGGGGCTTCCGGCTTTGACCAGCGCCGTCTCCGCACTCGTGTTGTCCAGGAACCAACTGATGTCTTTGCCCTTCAAGCGTGCGGGGGCCGAGTACACCAGCAGCGGGGCCGCCAGCAGCTCCGCCCGGTTGATCGCTGCGCCGCCCTCGCCCAACAAGGGCCGCATCTGCTCCGTCACGTCGTGCACGAAGGTTGCTGGCAGCCTGCCCATCTCGAAGATGACGCCCCCGATCCTGACCCTGGACCCCTCGGCGCTGGCGTCCGTGTAGATGACGACCGGCGGGTCGGGCCGCTGGAATATGTCGAAAACGACATCTGGCATCGCCTCCAGAACGGCCAGCAAGTAGCGGATGGCCTGGCCCAGGTTCGGCGTCACGCTGAGATCGCGCTCGTAGTGTTGGCGAGCAACCAAGGCGGCCATGACCCCCCGACACGGGCGCCCTGCGATGGCTGCGTCAAACCACCCAGCAATGCCCCGGACGTGGGCCGCCTCCCCCGACGAGAACCGGCCCTTCTGGAGAATGGCCTGCAGCTTCGCCTGGAGGGGCGCCCAGTTTCGGAGCGTACACGATCACCTGGTCCAGGCACGGCATGGACATGTCGAAGAGTTGCCCCAGGAAAGTGAAGGCAGCAGAATGCATTTGGCGTTTCTTGTCTGACAACCAAATCCCTGCTAGGTCCGCGAGGTCCCGGAACACGGCGTGCCCATCACCCAGCAGGCTGGTCAGCTCCATGATCACATTGTCGTCCACGTAATGGCCGCACAAAATGATGAGCACCCTGCGTGCCACGGCCGTAAGATAAGCAGCGCAATGGGTGAACTGGTTGACGGCACTGCCCAGACCGAGTGGCAAGCCCCGCAGCACTGAAGAATCCGCCGACCCTGTCGGCGTGTGTGAGGGGCTTTTCCGTTCGAGCCGTCATCTCCGTCATTCTTTGTACTCGTCGTCTCTGTCCTTCCCTTTCCCTGGGAGACCTCTTCCCCTGGGCTCCAGCCAAGCCGACCTTGAGCAACCTCGTAATTGAGTCGAAGGGAAGCCCCTTCCCTTTGATCCCTCCCCCGCCGGGAGGGGGGGGGGTGTCGACCCCCCCCGGGTCAGATACGACGCCCCCCCCTGGGACTCCTCTTCCCCTGGGCTCCAGCCAAGCCGACCTTGAGCAACCTCGTAATTGAGTCGAAGGGAAGCCCCTTCCCTTTGATCCCTCCCCCGCCGGGAGGGGGGGGGGGGTGTCGACCCCCCCCCCGGGTCAGATACGACGCCCCCCCCTGGGACTCCTCTTCCCCTGGGCTCCAGCCAAGCCGACCTTGAGCAACCTCGTAATTGAGTCGAAGGGAAGCCCCTTCCCTTTGGGGGGGGGGGTGTCGACCCCCCCCCGTCAGATACGACGCCCCCCCCTGGGACTCCTCTTCCCCTGGGCTCCAGCCAAGCCGACCTTGAGCAACCTCGTAATTGAGTCGAAGGGAAGCCCCTTCCCTTTGATCCCTCCCCCGCCGGGAGGGGGGGGGGGGGTCGACCCCCCCCCCGGGTCAGATACGACGCCCCCCCCTGGGACTCCTCTTCCCCTGGGCTCCAGCCAAGCCGACCTTGAGCAACCTCGTAATTGAGTCGAAGGGAAGCCCCTTCCCTTTGATCCCTCCCCCGCCGGGAGGGGGGGGGGGTAGCGACCCCCCCCCCGGGTCAGATACGACGCCCCCCCCTGGGACTCCTCTTCCCCTGGGCTCCAGCCAAGCCGACCTTGAGCAACCCCTGGGCTCCAGCCAAGCCGACCTTGAGCACCTCGTAATTGAGTCGAAAGGAAGCCCCTTCCCTTTGATCCCTCCCCCGCCGGGAGGGGGGGGGGGGGTCGACCCCCCCCCGGGTCAGATACGACGCCCCCCCCTGGGACTCCTCTTCCCCTGGGCTCCAGCCAAGCCGACCTTGAGCAACCTCGTAATTGAGTCGAAGGGAAGCCCCTTCCCTTTGATCCCTCCCCCGCCGGGAGGGGGGGGGGGGTCGACCCCCCCCCCGGGTCAGATACGACGCCCCCCCCTGGGACTCCTCTTCCCCTGGGCTCCAGCCAAGCCGACCTTGAGCAACCTCGTAATTGAGTCGAAGGGAAGCCCCTTCCCTTTGATCCCTCCCCCGCCGGGAGG